ATACAGTAACACTTGACTGGCATCTGTCTCCAGCATGCAGTTTGCTAGAAGAATTCCACCCACTGGGTTTGTTTTCCACTTGCCATACACCGTGCAAAACACAGCAAGCTGTAATCATGCAGGTGCCATATGCAGTGCATGCATCCAAGCAGCTGTGCACATTTAACCAGTTACTGTTTTCCAATAACTGCAGTTACAGCAATTGCCATGAATGGGACTGGTCCTGGACATATTACTGTACTATTAATTTATTTTTGAGTATAATGGGTCAAAATGATAATGCTTGGCACAAAAGCATTTCCTGGAAGAAAATTATAGTAGTAATCATTTAAAAAAATAAAGAAAACATATTAAACTTGGATATCTTGTAACAGAGAGGTGGAAAATAATGTTTTGGGACCCCACCCTTGGTGCCTCCACTGGGGATTAGCTGTGGCTACAGTTTTGTAACGTGCACCAGCAGCAACTGGTTCTGAAGGCTTTAGCTCACATCAGGGTAGAAACCAATAAAAAGCTGCCTAATAAATGCACTTGCAGCAGTTTCATGACACAAAACAGGCAGTGGTCACTATGAACTGAGAAAACAGTTAAAACTTTCCTAACGCAGAAAACTTGGGTGGGGCAGTTCCAGATATGATACAGACTAGAAGAGCTCATTGTGAGCAGCCCTGCGGAGAAGAATTTGGGGATCCTGATGGATGAAAAGCTGGACACGAGCCAGAAATGTGCATTTGCAGCCTGGAAGGCCAACAGTATGATGAGCCTTCACAGAAGACCCATCTAATACTGCACAGCTTTGGGATTCTACTGGAGAGATGTTCTAAGATTTTCTATTCTATCCTTTGTTTCCTTATAGTGTTAGCTCCAATAAATGGCATTTCAAGTCATACTTTACAGAGCCTGAGTGCCTTTGCTACTGGAATCATAATGAACCAGCACCTCCTGGTGCCAAAACATTCAGATGTTTTCCCAGAAGCAAGTCTATAGTTTTAAAAATCATTCAGATTTACGGTATTATTATTTCAAAAATAATATCTTCTGTCTTTCATGTGAAGCAAGTACTGACTGACAAAAAAATTCTCTTGGAATCTTTAATGTCACTGAGCCTATAAAATGTTTTGTGCTCTCTTACGGCTTTATCACTTCTCTGATTCCCTACCGAAGGCCACTCAAATAATGTGTGTGATTTTCAGTTCATCTTTATCATTCTGTCAGTAGACTGAGTGCTTCTTGCCTCCCTCTGCTGTTGCACTCTGAACAACCTTTCCATCTGTTTGAGGAACTGAAGACAATGAAAGAAAATAATTCCTTATAGCATTTAGTGCTATCGAGATTTTACTGTCATGATCCATACCTTAATTCATTATTTGTGACTGGTACATTAGTCATATCCCCTGACAAAACCTGCCTAAATTGAGAAAAGCCTACATACCTGAGGTGCCCAAACACACTTACAGAAAAGGGCAGATGATGGAAAAACGAAATGCATCCCCACTGGCAGGCAGCACAGTCTGCTTTTCACAATTAGAGCTGTGATGGATGGACTTGCACTGTTCCAAAGCGTGGTGGCAATTTAGCAAGGACACAGGGTAGCAGTGACCCAGTCAACCTGTAACTGCATGTCATTTTATAGAAAATAGGGATATAGAAAAACCATTTTGCTTTACAGACAAATGGATTTCTTCCATTTTTTTTACAGACTCCTCCATGTTAATAACTTATCCATTTATGCGCTGGAGAGAAGTTTATAGTGCCCAGCCCCACTATTCAAGTAAGCACAACCTCTGGTGAAGGGGAAAGATGGGAGTTGGTGAGAAAGGCTCCTGTCCCACTTAAGTTGCTTGCATCTATAGAATAGGTTCACAGTCTTCAAAGCTGAAAAGGAGTCAGATGTGTCTATAAGCGAAGATCTGGTCCATTTAACTCTACAACATGCAAAACCTTCAGGAATAAAGAGCAGGTTATTGCAGAGGGTGTGCACAGACACCTCCATGTGCAGTGGATATGCACAGGGTGCACAGGCACCTCCACCTGTTGACTTGATCTATCAACTAGAAGTCTGTGCTGTCTGTTAGGGTACCAGACCAGGGATATGGTGGACAGACTGCCAAAGCTTGTCTGACTACTGCCCCCTGCTTTTATTTCATATTCAACATCTCTGTTCATCTGGATGATGGGACAGAGCATACTCTCAGCAAATTTTCTGATGACGTGAGACTGGGAGGAGAAGCCGATACATCAGAGGGTTGTGGTGCCATCCAGAGACATGTTAACAGGCTAGTAACATAGGCTGACAGCAATTTCATGAAGGCCAGCAAGTACAGTGTCCTGCACCTGGGTAGGAACAACTCCAGGTAACAAGAAATGCTGGAGGTGACCCAGATGGAAAGAAGCTTTGCAGAAAAGGATCTGGGGATCCTAGAGAACACCAAATTGAACATGAGCCAGCAGAATGCCTTTGCCACAAAGAAGACCAAAGGTATTTGAAGCTGCACTATGCAAAGTATTGCCAGCAGATTGAGGGAAGTAATCCTTCCCCTCCAGCACTGGTGAAACTGTATCTGGAGTCTTGCGTCCAGTTTTGGGCACCCCAGCACAACAAAGACATGAACACTCTGGGAAGAGTCCGACAAAGGGCAATGAAGATGATTAAGGGGTGCATCTCATCCATAAAGGAAGGCTGAGAGATCTGGAACTTCAGCCAAAATAAGAGATGGCTCAGGGGAGATATCATGGATGTGTTAAATACCTGAAGGGAGAGCACAAGCTGGAATGCAGAAGATTGGCTTTGAACACCAGGAAACACTTCTGTGCTATGTGGGTGATGGAGCACTGGCGTAAGTTGTTCAGAGAGGCTGTGGAGTCATATCATTTGAAACCTTTAGAACCTGTCTGGACATGGTTCTGAACAACCTGCTCTCGGTTTCTGCTTTCTTGAGTAGCAGTTTGGATCAGATGGACCCAGAGGTTCTTTCCAAGTGCAGCCACTCTTTGTGAAGACTTATGCAGTGACATGGGCACGTAATGGGTGCACAGTGACTCCTCAGAATATTAGGAGTCCTATTTTGATAAATAATGACACCTGCTTAATAGCAGTCATCTACTTGCATGGTCTTACATCCTCTGCTACTCCTCTTACACATATGCACTAAGAAGCTTGGCAAGAAGTCGCATGAATGCATTTGCAATATGCTACTGATACTAAAGACAAATTAATTGTATTCCCTATATAAATTCAATACTAACACATCTCAAAAAGTTTTCTGCATTTAACTTACATGTTCTATCAGTTAGAAACTAAGGACTTGTTCACTAATTGTGAACAAATCTTTTCAGTCCTAATTTGCCTCATTGTCTGAAAATGGCTTTTTACATTTTTTCATGAACAAAAGCAATAACTTTTCTTAGTTTGCTCAAGCAAATGCTCTAAGTAAAATGAGTTATCTTGTCATTTATTGAAACTGGAAATGAAATCCTTGGAGGGTATTCTTTTACTTGGTGACGCAAGTCTGTCCAATTTTTTTTCTGCACTGTTTGGGTCAGGTCATTTATTCAAGTAATTCATAGTGGAATGGGATGTATTCAGAGAACAAAATCTAGTCTGTGACCAAAATGGTCAGCAATTGTCTGGGCTATGAAATTACCTCCAGTGCCACGTAAAAGTGTCTTTTTTAAAAAGACAAAATGAAAGTATTTGTAACTAACTACCATCAGGAAGTCACTGTTTGGAGGACTGATTGACATCCCGATAGAAACAGAATGCCTGAAAAGGCAGCAGCTTTGAAACAGTGTCACTTCTGTGGTGCACACAATTAGTAGTCTCATCTTTTCTTCCAAGAAGGAAAAAAATAAGTATTGCAAATTTGTATTAAAATGAAAAACAGACTTATATGCTGAAAAGTCCAAGATAAACTGGATTGTATAAGCTTGAATTCATTCTAAGTAAATTATATACAACAATTGGCATTGCTGGCAGTTTACCTGACCAAAAATAAAAATAAAAAAAAAAATAGCAAAGAAAACCAAAGTCAACTGCTCTGATCTCCAGAGAGCAAACTGCAAGTTTACTCCCACCAGCCCCCTTCTAGCTGTCTCCTTTCTGAGCAGCAGTGGATGCCTGCAGAGGAAGCACCATATACTGCAGCACTGCTGCATGTTTGGACTGGTTGGCCTTCATCTGAGAGTCCTATATGGGGACATAAGTGTCTCAAAAATGTTAAATAGCTCTCTAACTGCTTGTTATGCTTTCTTTCCTATCCCTTAGAAATACATAGAATCAAAGAATCGCAGAATATTCTGAGTTGGAAGGGGCCCATAAGGATCATTGAGTCAACTCTGGCCTCCACAGGGGACCATTCAAAAGTCAGACCACGTGTCTGAGAGCACTGAGGTAATGTCCTGCTTTTGATATGCTACTGGAGGTAACCTACAAGAGAAAGAATCATAGAATCATAGAATTGCTCAGGTTGGAAAAGATCTTAAAGATCATCAAGTCCAACCACGATGTAGCCATAGCACCCTAACTCCAACAACTCTCTGCTAAATCATGTCCCTGAGCACCACATCCAAATGGTTTTTAAACACATCCAGGAATGGTGACTCAACCACCGCCCTGGGGAGCCTATTCCAGTGTTTCACAACCCTTTCTGTAAAGAAGTTTTCCCTGATATCCAAACTAAACTTACCCTGGCTCAACTTGAGGCCATTTCCCCTCGTCCTGTCACCTGTCACCAGTGAGAAGAGACCAACCCCGCTCTCGCTGTAAGCACCTCTGAGATACTGGAAGAGAGCAACAAGGTGTCCCCTCAGCCTCCTTTTCCCCAGACTGCACAGCCCCAGTTCCTTCAACCGGACTTCAGAAGCCCCACAGAATAGATTCAATTAATAAATATGACCTGTATTCACTCAAAGTCAGTACTGTGTTTCAATCAAGCCTATTTTAATAGCACAGTTCTTTCTAGCAGTTATAAGCTAATCAAGCAGTTCAGAAAGGCTTTAGAATGCCCTCTGAATTCCTTACTACACAACCACAAAACTCTTCCTAAATTAATGACTTTATCCCATTCAACCTCTCTCTGACAGTTACCAACAAAAATGTGAGACTTTGAAAAGAAATTCTCACACTTTCATCTTCCTGCTTTCTGGTTAAGAAATGAAGAGAGGCTTGGGTGTTTGTTCGTTTGTTTTGTTTTTTACTCTTTGTCTTAATTGCCCTCTACTCTCTATGATCCGCTGACAAAGTCCTTCAGAACCCGGCCAAAAGCGGAAGCCAGAGCCGAGCTGCGCCAGCTGAGGAAGTTTGGGTGCCATCGCACACCGTAGGCAGAGCGCCGCCGCCGCCGCCGCTGCCTTCCGTGTCTGGGCGAGGAAGCGGCAGAGCTTTTCCCCCTCCCTGGCGCTCTCGGGAGAGGCGGGAAAATGGCGGCAGCCTCCGGTGTCGCGCGGAGCCGCTTTGTGGTGGTGGGCGGAGGCATCGCCGGAGTTACCTGCGCCGAGAAGGTACGGGCTGTGGGGCCGCTGCCCGCCGGGCGTATGCGCGCCCCCCGCCGGCTGGCGGGCCGTGCGTTCCTTGCGGTCAGCGCCGAGAGGGGATTTGGGTCCGTGTTTAATATTCCAGGAGACTATCTGCCTGAAATAGAACTATATGTAGCTGCTATGGCCCCGTTTCACAATTAACGTTTATGATCTTTAAGATTGCTTTAAAAGAGATCAAAATTTCCTGATATTTTCTTCCACATCTCACAGCGAGTGCCTCTTTTTCATTGACACGTGTTTCCCAATCAGGTTCTTACACACTGACTGAGACTCGCTGCTTTTTCTCATTCTTCCCGCAGCAAGGAGATGGAACTTGATGATCTTTGAGGTCCTTTCCAACACAAACCGTTCTGTGATTCTATTTCCCAGCAGCACAGGAAACACAGTTGGAATGAGTATTAGCAGTCCAATAGCATGTGTTTTAATTCACAGAATCACAGAGTTGCAGGGGTTGGAAGGGATCTCTAGAGATCATCAGGTGCAACCCTGTGCTAAAACTCATCTCCACAGCAGGTTGCACAGGTAGGCACCCAGACGGGTGTTGAATATCTCCAGAGAAGGACACTCCACGGCCTCTCTGGGCAGCCTGTACTCCATCCCTCTGACAGTGAAGAAGCTACAACCCTGATGCTTTCTCATACAGACTTTTAGGACAATGTCCTCCTTCCAGGCAGTATTGCAAGGGTTAAGATTCAGTGCAAGTTTTCACTGAGTGCCACGTGTAATTCCATCCTCATGTACAGTGTTTTGTGTACATGTCTGGAAAGGGTCTTTTCAGAGAGCAGCACCTTCATAGCCATATTAGTGTATTCATTAACCCCATCAAAAACAGCCTTGTGTTCTGGAGGAGTTTCTGTGCTGTGCTCTACATGTGTAGCTGCTGGCATGCATGAAATAATAAATCAGGAACATTGAATACAGTCTTTCTCGGTCTTGAGACTAAGGGTAGAATTCCCTGGAATAAACACCTTGTCCACCATACTGCATTTTGGGTATGTACTTTGGGCTTCTCAAGCTGCTCTCCGAGAGCAACCATTGCTTCAGCTCTAACTTAATTACCTGACTGTGCATTTTTTTTTTCAAGTACATTTAAAACAACCTGACTGAATACCTTTTTCTTTTTTCTTTTTTAAGGTTAAATTTATTTTCTATGTCATGAAATGTTTCATGTCTCAACCTAATTTCAACCTTCCCTATTTAGTTGCAACGTTTCTTTCAGGTTTGTCATTTTCAGGTTTGTGTTTTTCTTTACACCCATGTCCATATGTTTGGATTAACTTAATATGTTATGTGGCAGATTTCTAGTACTTAAAAAGATAAAGGAGTGGAACAACCTCAAGAGGACTGAACGAACATTTCAAACCATTCAGTCTTAATAAAAAGAGAGGAATAAACATTAGAGTGTGTGTAAGTGGTACAAAGTATGTGATGTTGGTGTAAAAAAGTCTTAAATACATCTGATGGTTATTACCTGATCCCATGCTTTCTATGGCATTCTGTAGTTTTTGGAGACTTTATAAGGTACACCTGGGAGCAGCTGCAGGGGCACACTGTGCTGCTCTGTTGCATGAACATGTCAACCATTCTTCTCTTCTGTCAACATAAAGCATACAGCTACAATGGGTATGACATACATATTAGGGAGTCATGCTATAAAGTGTGTATTACATGACATTTTTCATATATTCTCATTAAATGCATTTGTACTTTATGCCACAAGTGTGGCTATGTGGATCTCCCTTAAACCAGCAACAAAGTCTTGGTACTTTGACCTTCAGGTTCTTCCCATCTGAAGTACCATCATAAATGCTCAGTTGCTCATGTATAAGACAGAACATGCTTCCTGGTGGTTTTTACAACCATCTTGTTCATCTGTAGGTTACTGCTGATAAGGAACCTGGGTTCTACTGTGGCTGAGCAATGCAGCACTTAAGGTGGAAATTCTTCAGTTGCTTGCAGCCTGTAAGAATCTTGTACTTTACTGCTTAACAGCATTCGGAAGATGATTCACTTATCAGTTTACTAAATTACATTTAAATTAACCAATAGGAATCAGTATTTCCTCTGTCAAAATGAAGTCTGTTAAAAATTGTAACAAAAATGCAGGGAATCTCCATAAATTGTGTGATCAGAGTCTTCCAACAGCCAGCCTTTAGAATACTGTGAAGATGTTCTTTTGAGTAGTCTTTCTTACAGTGGCTGCAGTTGTTAAATTTGTATGACATAAGTCTTGGCTTTCCCAATTTGATTAATTTCAGTTATTTCCTGTATTATTCTTCTATAGCCTTGAAAGAGTCTTTACCTGATCCAGATTTATGTAATATAGTAACATATGTTACTTTACTCCAGTAATTTTATTGTGTTTAATTCAAATTCTGTTGATGACTACTTGCTCATCATATTTTCTCTTTCTTTACAAGCTGGCCATGGACTTCCCGTCAGAAGACATTTTTTTAGTGACAGCTTCTCCAGTTATAAAAGCTGTAACAAATTTCAAACAGGTAGGAAAGCTTTAATTTATGTTACATTAAGACATCTTCAGAAGTCTGTATTTGTACAGATAACTTCAGAGTCTAATCTTGAAAGTGATTATGACTGTGTGTTATTTTGTAGTGATTCATAAATGATTCATAATCATTACTAAGTACTCAATGAATATACTCACAATATTAGTAAATGACCAAAGATTAAATTGGGTATTTACATGATTTAAGTGTTTAATACATTTCTAGTGAAGCATCATTTCACTACTTTGCTAATGGGAATGCTCCATCTTAAGCTCCAAAATGATATCTTTGGAATAAATTATTTAAGAAATTTAGTCTTGCTAGTGGATCTCAGATTCCCCACCGTTTTTATAGTAGTAGTATGTTAGAATCTCAGGCAGAATCAGGCTTCTGACATGTAACAGAAAAGGAATATCCTTCTGTGAAACAGTGCTCAATTTCATCTTCCAGTAACTGGTGATTCTTTGCTGCTACTTTTAAAAATAAAATAATTCCATACTCAAGTTCAGATTTCTGGCTTGTAGGTTCATTAGCCAGAGGTACTCAGACCTTACAAGGCACAGCTCCTTTTCCTGCCATTTGGGAATAGATTTTACAGTCAGTCATGGGAAGAGTTGTGCTTGGATTGCCCAGAATTCAGGATGCAAAGCTGCAAGCCACTTCAACTAGTCCATAGGAAGTTGGGTTTTACTACTCGGGGAAAGTTACCAGCCTTCTGCTTGTATTTGTGTTCATCACTGTTTTTCTGAGAAACGGTACATAATACAAATGTATCATAGCACAGGTATATCTTAGGACTAGTAAAAAAAAGGTTTTAATCCTTTTAGGTCTGCAGGTCTCAGAATCAGATCAAAATCATCATTTTCCTGATGTATTAATGTTTATATTCAAATTTCTGAAGGTGGAAAATAAGGCACAGAGATTTAAACAAAAGTTTTTGCTTTTAGTAGCTGTAACTTGCTGCCAGCATCTGAGGGCTCTTTGTGAGAATGCAAGGTAACACCCAACTAATGAATCTCAAACACAGATACAGATTGGGCAGAGAATGGCTTAAGAGCAGCCCTGGGGCGAAGGATGTGGGAGTGTCAGTTGATGAAAGATTCAACATGAATGTGTGCTTGCAGCCCAGAAGGCCAACCTTATCCTGGGTTGCATCAAAAGAAGAGTGATCTGCTGCTTGAGGGAGGGGATTCTGCCCGTCTACTCTGCTCTCATGAGACCCCACCTGAAGTACTGTGTCCAGTTCTGGGACCTCCAACACAAAAAGAACATAAAGCTGTCAGAGCGGGTTTAGAGGAGGGCTGTGAGGATGATCAGAGGGCTGGAGTACTTCCCTTATAAGGACAGGCTGAGGGAGCTGGGGCTTTTCAGCCTGGAAAAGAGAAGGCTCTGAGACACTTTATAGCAGCCTTTCATTACATGAAGGGGGCCTATAGAAAGCTGGGGAGGGACCTTTTATAAGGGCATGTAGCAACAGGATGAGGGAAAATGACTTTAAAATGGAAGAGAGTAGATTTAGATTAGATATTAGGAAAAAATTATTTACTATGAAGGTGGAGAGACTGGAACAAGTTACACACTGTGGTTGTGAATGCCCTCTCCCAGGAAATGTTAAAGGCCAGGCTGGATGGGGCTTTGAGCAACCTGGTCTAGAGGGAAGTGTCCCTGCCTATAGCAGGGGATTGGAACCAGATGATCTTAAAGGTTCCTTCCAACCCAAACCATTCTATGATTCTGAGTTTCAGAATGCTGACCCTGGTGGTCGTGGGTATCCAGGACAGACATTTACATATTGCAGAGAAGTGAAGTCTGTAATGCATATCAGCAGAAGTTTTGGCAAGTGAACAGTAAGGGAATAACTAAACAGTGTTTGAAGGCAGCAGCATCTAAGTTTTGGACATGTATACCTTAAGTTCTCTTTGAATTGCAGAGGTGTCCAGTTCCTAGCTGTGCACCAGACTGTTTGAATACCCTACAAAGTAGAAGGCCTGAAGGTTCCTATGCAGCTGTTTCCTTCTGGAACAAACCTCAGTTCAACATAACTTACTTGGGTGTTTTCCAAGTTGTTTGTTTGTTTGTTTTTTCACTAGTCTCTGAAATATCTGATAGTGACTACATATGTGCTGCTGAATAAATGTTCTGAGGAGATCTTGAATCTGTTTTGCATAAACATTCACCTTACACACCTTGCTTTTTGTTGGACAAAAGTAAGCACTTTTCCTGACATAAGGACCAAGTACCTGCAACATGAGGTTGAACTGCTAAATGTTAGAAGAAAATGTCACTGGGTACTTATTTTTTAAGAGGGGAAAAACATAGATGGCCTTTTGTCTAGAATGAATGATTCTCTGTGCTATTTTGAACAAAGCATTCTTCATCCAGAGTACTTAAGAAAGATGCTTGTATGGGGGACCATGTAACATCACTGAGTTACTATGTGAGAGTTTTACCAAACAGGTCAACAGGGTCTTAGAAACACATCCAGTAGATTAAAAATGCAATGTTGCTAAGTCTAGTATTATATATATAGGAAATAAAACATTATAGCAGTTAATCGGGGTAAATAGCTTTAGAAATACAATTTGCTGTATTACTTTGATCTTTTACCAAGGACATGCACAAAAGCTTTCCATACATAAAAACATATTTTTGGCAGTGACACAGTAAACATGATTCAAGACAATATGGGCTTTATATTGTGACTTCTTTATTAGAAATTTACTTAATACTTTTTTTTTTTTAATTCAGAAATTAAAATGGATTATTCATATTTTTAAATCTCTTTCTGCTTCTTCCAGGTGTCAAAAACACTTGAGGAATTTGATGTAGAAGAGCAACCAAGTTCTCTATTAGAACAACGATATCCCAATATTAAAGTTATCCACTCTGCTGTAAAACAATTGAAAAGTGATGAGCATGTAAGATAATGTTTTCTCTTTTTAACTTACACATGTTTTTGGAGGTAAAAAAAAAAAAACAAAAATCTGAGAAACCGTTGAATGATTTTGGCATGAAATTCTGTTCAGCAACATTCTGGTTATTAAAACATAATTTACTAAAAATTACAAAAGAACATCTCTGTAGTAGAAATGTAAAGTCACAGCCTGAACCCGTGTTTGAGCACCTGGTGGGAAGGCAGGGCCAACCCAGGGGAGCTCAGGTATATGCAGTGCACCTGAGTGACTGGAAGAGGTGGAGCCAGGATCCATCCCTTCCCAGACCTCATTTAAGGGTTGGACGTGAAAGTAAGGGTCTCTTACTGGAGATCTCTGCCTGCTTGAGGCATCCCAAAGATAAGCAGCTTTTTTCCTTTGTTTTTGTGTCTACAATTGCTGCATTTGAGTTTGTCCTCATTTGCTGCAGCTGAAGACTGTCAGCCTGCTATTATCACTGTACTTTTCATCGCATTATAAACTCTTTCACTTAATCAGTTATTTATAGTGGTGTTCTAGTAGACTGTGGCTGCTTGTTAAAGGATTATAGATCAAAATTTAGTTGTTAATCAACAAACTATGCCCTTTTGATTTATATTTTCGATACCTTGGATTTGTGGCATTGAATACCTGGTTGGAACAGGAGGGAAAACAGTCAATTAAATCTATGTAGTTTATCAGTGTAGGTGTCAGAAAAGTTCTGTAACCCGTAACTGTGTGTCTTTGTGATTCCTGAATTACAACTTGTTGCTCCAAAGGCCAAAATTTTAACAACTTTATGATGTATAAAAAACTAATTCTCAAAAGAAGCAGCATTTCTACCTTTCCTTTGTTCTTTTTAACAAAAGAAATGTTGCAAGCAGGAGCAATGTACAGTACATACATATCCTCTTTACTGTCCAAGTCAGCTTGATGTGCTTGCTTTATTATAACTCAATGATTATCAGAAATTCATGTGCTCATTTTAAGTTGCAGAGCTGTGACTTCAATTAGATTATAAGGCTGCTTATATTTCGACCCAAACTGTTGACTTGTAGCTTCACCACTACATGGTTTTAGTTTAGTCTAAGTGGATTCTAGTAGCTCACGTATATGGATTTTGAAGGATCTTTTTCCTCTGTTATCTGAAAATCTTTAAAACCTCCCTTTGTGTGAAACCACTGTAAACTATTTGGCTTCTAGTTTGGAAAGCATCAAACAGTACTTTAAATTTAATGTGGCTTTGTTGCAGAGTGATGTAGCTTGTTTAGCACCTACCCTTTGTCTTCAGCAAAGAACTAAATTTGCAATCTTTCTAAACTTTATTCTGGGTAGCACCTAGTTAATACAAGTCTGCAGTTACTGAAGGTAGGAGAAATCAAAGAGTTTAGTGTCAGTCTCCAATTGTGTGTGTAATTATTCATCTATTAAAAATCATAAAAGACCCAAACATGTGTTGGTGTCATAAAGCCATACTTATTGTTTCCTAATAAAAGGTCTGGATTGAACAGTGTTTTGCTCTTATCTTATCTTACTACTATCTAGAAGTGTTATGAATGGGATTCTTAATTGCTAATATAGAGTAGTGCACAGGTCTACATCTGTTGTTGGGGTGGGAGGACACTAACAGATAGAAAACTGATTCTTTCAACACAGATGGTAAGTACAGGGTGCCACCAAGAGGTAATATTTAGATTTCATCTGTTTTAAGTGTAAGTGTTCCATTTCATCAGTTATACCATATCACATATTTAGACCTGTAAATCTATGGTGAGCATAGCACAAATGAAATACCTCCTAATGAGAAAGGGAAAGCTTGCTTGTTTTTAAGAAGCCAGTGCAACCTTTTAATACCTGCAAAATACTGTGACATCAAGAGAAAAAGAATCCAGTGTTGTTTTATATGTCTCCATATTACTTAATAAGTTATTTCTTTTTTCCTCTTAATTTTTAACAGAAAATTTTCACTGAAGATGGGAGAGAATATACGTATGAGAAACTTTGCCTGTGTGCTGGAGCAAAACCTAAATTAATTTTTGAAGGAAACCCATATGTATTAGGAATTCGGGATACTGACAGCGCACAGGTAAATGCACTTTGGACTTGTATGTGTGTAATATATTCATCTTTCTGATGGGAGTTGCTAAAAATGGTTGCAGGGTGAAATAGAGGAACATCAAATGCTGTTTATTATTTTATGTCCTCAAATAGAATGTTTTCAGTAGCAGAAAAAGCCTTCAGAAACATTAAATAATTAGTGACTAAATCTGTTAAGATTATAAATGGTTCATACATTGTGTTTGTAACATAAGAGTCCAGAAAGAAAGGTGTTCTTTTGCCCTCTGGGCAGAAGCCAACCAGGCAGCCAGGAAGTAGGAACTTTCCTGAAAAGGTGCATCCAGTACATTGTGTGAAGGGCTGCTTCATACTGAGAAGCAACAGTGGGTGGACTTCTTTTGGTTGTACAGAAAAGAATTACTATTGTAATCCAGGATGTGGACTACAAGATGTTTTTGTGTGTTGCTATTTGTTTTGGATATTAAAACTTTACCTGAGGTTACAAAATAAAGAAGAGAACTAAAAATAGAAGTTGTATTGGCTTGTATTTCTTTTATTTCTCTCACCACTAAGATTGGATTTGGAGACTTATTTCTTTCTAAAGATTTGTGGGAGCAAATAAAAATCGCTTCTCAGATTTTCTACAGATCGTTTATTTTGTTCCTGAATTCTAATCAGGAATTGTTACTTTCCTAAATGTCTGTATCTTTGCTCTCTTAATGTTGCAAAGATTACCTCGAAAATTATACAGACTGTGATAAAATTTGATTAAGAGATAATACAATGCTAATGGTCTCTGGGACATTAAGTTTTTGTGGATTCTATTATGGGTTCGGTTTGGCTTAAATGTAATTACTTTCTCCTTGCTCAGCTTGAGACTTATAATGCTGCAGAAATAATTTCATCCCTTAATGTGATAGAACTTCATGGGTTTCATTGGCTTCTTTAACAGTTTCTTAGCATAAGTTTATCAGTAGTTTGAGAAAATGAAACTAAAACCACTGAAAGTATTGGAAAGGATATATTTTATCAGTATTCCTTCAATTGTTTTCTTTTCTGACACAGGCTTTTCAGAAGAATTTGGCTCGAGCTGAGAGAATAGTAGTGGTTGGTAATGGTGGGATTGCACTTGAATTAGTGTAAGTCAACAACTAAGTTATAAATTTACATATGCAGATAAAATCTTTAATAGTTTGATGCTACAATCTTGTGTGCGTTAGTTTGTAAGAAGGTTGACTTATAAAATTATAGCTCTTAATTGGTTTTTCTACTAAATGCCTTAAGAATTGTTTTTCACCACATAGTGAAGGGTATTGTCAAACAAAATTCAGAAAATATAAGAAGCTTTGACTTTGATTTATATGAAGAATATACAGCATTTTTCTAATTTGGCACCAACAGGTTTCTGTTTATGCTATTAACAGTGATAATTATGTTACAAAACTTCTCTACATTCTAGAGATAGGAGACATAACAATGGAACAGCTGTTATTGCAGCCAGCGTGATTTAAATTAGTAGAGCTTCTGAACTGTCTGATATGGCTTTTGTTATAAGGAAGATACTGAGCTGTGTGGTCATACAGTCTGATAGATTGTGAAACCATTTGTATTATACAATTATGTAGTCTTCCTTTGCATTGTAGGGAACTGGTTTTGGACAGATACAAACTTGATGCTGGTTGGACTTGATGATCTTGAAGGTTTTCCAACCTACATGATGCTATGGTTCTGTAAATTGTCCTCTGCATTCCAGTCTGTGTTCCATCTGATAGCATCTTTGATGGACAGGAACAGTTCCAAATACCAGTTGTCAGCAGTGGGCAGTTTGGACAAAATGACTGCTTTTTTTTCATTGCGAGAAACAGGAAATACTAAGCATTATTACTACAAACTTGATCTACCTTTTTTACTCCTGCCATAACAACAGTTGAGCTTGTAGTCATGAGAAAGTAAAAGAAGAAAGGTGTGTCTTCTTTCTTTTGTGGCTTCCTCATGTAAATATATAAAAGCTGTAGTGAATTTGATAGGTTTAGAAGTCTTGTTCCTTATTTCTAACTTCTGGAATAGAACTTTGCAGACTTCTTGTTGAGTTACTGAGAGTTATAGATCCTTTTTTGAGTACTCTCTAATTTTATCCATTGTTTAAATGCCCACAGGTATGAAATTGAAGGCTGTGAAGTAATCTGGGCTATCAAAGACAAAGCCATTGGAAACACTTTTTTTGATGCAGGAGCAGCTGAATTTCTTATTCCAAAACTGACTGCTGAAAAACAAGAGACTCCAATTGAATGTAAAAGAACCAAATATGCAATGGAAGGTATTGTGTTTCAGTCCCCTAGCACTTCAGCAGCATTTAATATTAAAAATAGCCCTGAAAATAGTTAATTTATCAGGCTATAAGTATGGTGTACTATTATAAGCTATTGCAGTCTGTCTAGCTCTTAAGAGCCCATGCTGATGCCTAGCAGTGGCATGGTTGTTTCAGAGGCAAGTGCAGTAATAAAAGGCATAACACTGAAAGGTGATAAATACTTGTTTGGTTGTGATTTAGGTATTATTTAGATATTGGGAGGAAGTTTTTCACACAGAGGGTGGTGACGCAGTGGAACAGGTTGCCCAAGGAGGCTGTGGATGCCCCATCCCTGGAGGCATTCAAGGCCAGGCTGGATGTGGCTCTGGGCAGCCTGGTCTGGTGGTTGGTGACCCTGCACATAGCAGGGGGTTGAAACAAGATGATCATTGTGGTCCTTTTCAACACAGGCCATTCTATGGTTCTATGATTTGTCTGCAAATTAATGATGTTTGGGACTTTGCCTTACCTTACCTTGTTTGTTACATGTTTCTCCCCCTCTTTTTGTAACCAGATCATATTTCTCTTGATTCATAAACGTTGGTCTGAATTCTGCAGGCAGTGTAGTATGTATGCTAAATCTGATATTCTCCATCTCTCTGTCATCAGAAAGCGAGAAGAAAGAAAGGGCCACAGGAGCATCTGACAAACTGGGCAGTGCTTTGGGCCCTGACTGGCATGAAGGCCTACAGCTGAGAGGAACCAAAGAGGTATGTTTGTGTTTTTGTTTGCATTTGTTTAATTGTTGTTTTATGGTGATAGCATTACAGAACTTATGGTGATGAAATGTAACTTTTGGGATTATTAGGATGAGAAAAATGAAATGTGTTTGAACTGGTTCACTTATCAGAATTACAGAGAAAAATATGTTAACAGAAATCAAATTGTCTTCTTTTACAAGAAGAAGGTGGCAAATCAGATCCACTGACATGGTTTCATCAATTTCCTATTCAGACTGAAACATAAACGATGGTTTGCACATCTCTCCAGGACTGGTATCAATCCTAGCATTAAACAGAAGCAGTAATACCTCCACTTTCTTACTTCTAGCTGCTTTAGATATATTTTCCTATGTGAAAAATAGGACAGTATAACTTGTACAGAGGTATAGGGTTATTATCTTTATCATAAATTATGATAGAAAGTGGAAGGACTTGAAATTCTGCAAGACAGTGTAAGGTAACTGTTGTGTCATAATCTGAACCACTGGTTGATCACCTGGGGAAAGGAGTGGGTCAGCCCTGGGAGCACAGGTGAAAGCAATTCACCTGTGTGACTGGAAGGGGTGGAGCCTGGCTGCACCTCTCTGAGACCCCATGTAAGGGCTGACTGGGGGAGGATCTCTTCTTAAAGATTCCTCCCTTGTGGAGTTTTCCCTGTGATCCTAGATCTTCAGAGATAGGTGAGCACCTTTCCTTTTCTTTGTAACACCATTCCATTTACACCAGTCCCTTTGTTACGACACTCCTATATCGCCCTTCCACTGTGACCTTTTGATTGTAACAGAGAATTTTCTTTCTGTTTTATTAAGTTTTGTATTTCCCTCTTGTAATGCAAAAGCACCAGTACTTCTGTGTAAGGCTTTCTGATCCTGAATAAAGTATGCAGAGGCAAGCTAATATTCATCTATTTAATAGAGGTACTGACATCAATGGGGGACGGCTGGCCGATAGAGTGTCTGCCCTGGAGTTACTCCAGCAGATAACATCTCATCAGCAGGCTGCTACTGGTCACTTAACTCCCTTAGTACTGTGGCCATATATATAATAGCAGGAGACAATAAAGCACTGTGTATCAGAATGAACAGAAGGCAAGGAGACCTTTACAGCTGCACAGCAGTTTCTCACAAACACATTTCTTCTAGCTACATGCAGAAGGTAGAGGCAGATTACTTGCATTCCCAAGGTAACAGATTAGTCACCTGTTCAGGCTGTGGTCTGGCTGGCTAATATGCCATGGGATGGGATATATGGTGATTATTTTTTTGTTTAGTAACACCTTTGAATGAAAGTCTATTATTTGCTATAATATTGCTAATTAATTAAAAATTTTGATAATCTTTCCTTAGTTTTCTCATAAAATACATATTGAAATACTATGTGAAGTGAAGAAAATACACTCACAGCAAGAATTTATACAACTGCAACAGATTTCCTTGGCTTTTCCTAAGAAGGAGAAGAATGTAGAACCAGAGGAAGGTAGGTGTGACCAAGAAAAAAAAGTGGTGCCAGTGCTGATTAGGAAAGCATGTTGGAGCATGTTTGAGCTTGACTGCTTTGTTCTAAAGAAAATGCAGATTTGAAAGAACAGAGCTTTATTTCTCTAAATTGAATGGTGTTCTAGCAGTTTTCGTAGAACCATAGAATGGTTTGGGTTGGAAGGGACCTTTAAGATCACCTTGTTCTAACCCCCTGCTATAGGCAGGGACACCTCCCTCTAGACCAGGTTGCTCAAAGCCTCATCCAGCCTGGCCTTGAGTGCCCCATTTGTAGGAGTTGAGGTTTATTGGGCTATATTTACATTACAAAATGCTATGAAACAGACATTTTTCAACAGAGTCACCTAAATATTGTGTGTAAAATATTTGTTCCTGTGGTTTGATAAAGGATTTGATTCAGGAGAATTCAGAGAAAGCTGCTAGTGTGACTGGCTCAGCTCCAGATCACATTTTTTTTTTTGTTCCCAAATGAAATGAAAAGGTTTTATAGGTAATCTATATATTTGGAAAATATTTTTTCCTATCTAATCAACCAGATATCTCAAATTATTTTCTTTTCATTTTACATCCTATAATAAGACATTATTAAAATATCTTCTGTTGGTTATATTCTCAGGGCAGATTTTTCCCCTTTTTCAGTTCTGTGGCCTGTATATGTGGAATTAACTAATGGAAAAATTTATGGATGCAATTTCATTGTCAGTGCAACTGGAGTTGTGCCAAATGTGAAACCATTTCTTGATAGCAATAATGTAAGTATTTACCGATTTACTTCAAAGTTTGAGCTGTTTGGTTTTGGTGGGTTTTTTTCCTCCTTTATTTGTACAGGAAGATGAGTTCTTTCAAATGCTTTATGCTTCTCTTGATGTGAAATATTGATGTACAGCATTTCAAAATAAGGCCAGTATGCTGAATTCTGAAATGCAGTACTGATCTGTTCTTAAACATAGTGAGAAGAAAGCGTGGGTTGCTAAGAAATTCTACTTTTGCTAACTTTGTTATTGCTCATTTGAAGGGTTTGACAAGATTCAAGAGAAGTTCAGCAGGGGGTTGGGTTGCATTATAATATGGCATGGTAATTTTGTATGTGTAAGTGATTGCAAAAAGTATTTTGTTCTGACACTCTTCAGGGAAATGTTTTATTCCCTTAAAAACAAAGTTGCCTTAAGATTGGGATGTTTGAATGTGTTTCTGCCTTTTAATCATTCTCTAATTGAGTGATGAGAGTGAATAGCCATAAATTGTTTACAGTGAATTAGCTTTTCTCTGTTGTTAAATGGAGTCCAGAATAGCATCTTGATGAGTATTAATCGCTGTCTTCAAATGATTAAGCAGAAATTTTAAAGGAGAGTCTGCCATGAAAAAGTAGCAAATGAGGTGGCCACCTAAGATGGATAAAAGAAAATTACTCTGTTCAAATTACTGTTATTCTTCTGTGCTGATCTATGCAAATCCTTAGTTTGCTATAGGTGAAGATGGAGGCCTTAAAGTAGATAAACACATGCACACATCCCTGCCAGATATCTATGCAGCTGGGGATATCTGCACGGCGGCGTGGGAACCCAGCCCTGTGTGGCATCAGGTAAAACAAACGGTACAGTTGTGTGCTCAGTAGTAATCGACAAAGTAAAATACACAGTTACTTAGATGTGAGGAAAAGTGTAACTGAACAGGAAACCATTGAGTTAGTAGATAATTGTGGGCGTGCTGATAACAGATAACTTTATCTGTGTGGCTGAAAGCCAAGCTGTTCATCTTTCTGACTATGAAGAAAATACACGGTATGCTTTCATTGCACGCTGACACGTATTGTGTACCTTTTTGTTTTCAGATGAGACTGTGGACTCAGGCTAGGCAGATGGGATGGTATGCAGCAAAATGCATGGCAGCAGACTCTTCAGGAGAGTCTGTTGATCAGGATTTCTGCTTTGAATTGTTTGCTCATGTAACAAAATTCTTCAATTACAAGGTAAGTATACTCTATCTGTTTTCAATTACTGAGTAACACACATTGCTTGTTTATATTCAATTGCTAATGCTGAACAGATACTTTAATATTGATGAAACAGTGTTCTCTGTATAATTAGTTTAGATTTTCTCTGTTCATGCTGGCTGAATGCTGAAACTGAAAGGGACAAAGGTATCCGTTTTATTTCATTAAGATTCTGTTCATGAAGAAATTCAATACAATTCAGCAGGGGAATTAGCTCATATTGCTTTTAGCTTGTCTCATTTCAAGGTGAAGGTTTTTAATTACACTGTGGCTCCCAGACCCAACGGGAGGCGGATTTTCTTTTTACTCTAGGGGCAAATCCCTGTTTTATGTTTTTCTTTTGAAGCTTAGAATGTTAATGGTGAAGACACTAGAAGCCACTGCAATGTTCTTATGAATGGTTTTTCTTTTTTCTTCTGCTAGGTGGTGGTTTTGGGAAAATTCAATGCTCAAGGCTTGGGTTTAGACCATGAACTAATGCTGAGATGTACCAAGGGACAAGAGTATGTTAAAGTGGTGATGCAGAATGGACGAATGATGGGAGCAGTGTTGATCGGTGAAACAGACTTAGAAGAAACTTTTGAGAACTTGATTTTAAATCAAATGGACCTTTCAGCTTATGGTGAAGATCTCCTGAATCCAGATATTGATATAGAAGATTATTTTGATTGAATGAAAACCAATTTCTATTTTGTATACAGTTTTAATACTGACTGATGTCTTATGAAATGTCTTCTGGGGTTTACCAGAAAACAGGGAGAAGTGCAATTCTTTATTAAGATCTTTGAGTTGATGTTGCCAAATTAGTGAAAGGCAAATAAGCTTAATCTGTGTAGAAATGCAGCAGCAAAAGCAAATTGATTGATGTTAGCAGTGATTTGATCTAGATTAGATGAGAATATGGAAGCAGGGCTATTGCATTCCCAAAAAGCAGGCTTTGCTGTGCTATTAAGATAGCACTGCATTCAGTTCAGGGTGGTCTTCACTGTTGGAAAGAACATAAATAAAGCACTACATAATACATTTTAAATCCAGTGCCTTCCTACTGGGGGAAGAACCATGTGTAATGTTCTACAATCTATTCCACTTGCATCCTTCTGCTGCTAATAACTTCAAGTACTTGGCTCAGGTTCTAAGTCTGTTCCAGCTAACAGCACCATCACTTTCAAGCTGGCACTTAGAGCTCTTGCCATCTGCAATGTAGTTTGCACATACAGAATAAACTGGATGCTTTATGTTTGTTTCAGCTATTGTGGTAAAGCTGAACTGATGCCATCCTGTGTGATTTTCAACAGGAGCAATGTGAAGCCGCTCCAAGGAAGGGTTGGCACAACACCAATGGTGGCTGTCACCTGCAGAGATCTTATCAGATCTGTGGAGCAGACTGCTGGATGTAGTTCATTAGGTAGATGGTGTACATGGTGCCATTCTGACTGCTGGAAAGAGTGTGGCCCTATGCACAAAGCTGATACTGGAAGTTTTGCAGTCTCAATACTAGTTGTTTTACTGTGTGTTTTAAAGATTTTTCTTACACTTCTGTGTAATTTCTATTATGTTGATGGGGTTCAAGCAGACAACTGTTGCAGTCAGATAAAGAAGTTGTTCAGGAGGTTCTTTGTCCTCTCTACTTTCTGCCCTCTCCTTGCTTACAGTCATTCATGTTCGTTCCAGGAAGGAATTTTTGGAGGTAAGAAATTCAAATTTGACTTCTGATAACTAATAATAAGCCCCCTTTTTGCAACTTAATAGTATGTTTTAAGATATATTTTTTTATTTAAGTTATTTTAAATGTAAGTCTTGAGTCATAATACTGGATGTATGTTTAGTTATGTAAGGCATGCTGTAGTTGTCATGATACATACGCACAGGTTTGCACATGTTACTTTCTTTCTTACTAGTAATAATAATTACACCAAGTGCCTCATTTCCTAGTGATAAAATCCAACTATTTAAGCTATTTCTTAATATTGTCTTTGTATTCTGTAGCATCATTCATGGACACAAATTGTTTCATACTTGATTTTGATCTGCAGTTGAGAGTTACTATTTAGGGTTAATCTGGTAGTGTTTCTTTGTACAAAGTTGGCATTACATACTGGGACTTCTCCCAGAAAACCACTCTAATTATTTTGAAGAGAATGACTGTTTAATTAAATGAATTAATTCTATTTTTGGCAAAGCTTTTAATTAATTGATGCATGAAAACTCTAAGCTTTCAGTCACGGAATTCTATCAGAAAAAATAAAGGTGAAGAGCTTTATTTGAATAATACGGGGTATCTTTTGTGTGTAGAATTTTAAGTTGATACACAGCTGAGTGCCTACAAAAATGTAGCAGATCAAGTATTCAAACAGCTAGGTGCCTAACTAGCTCTTGTAGTCAGTAGTAGCTGTGTCTTTCCCCCTGTGGTAGCACAGTTACATTTTTCTGAAAATACTGGTGTACATGTGCATCTAAGGAAGCCAACTCTTTCTATATTTAACTGTATGTGCAGTAGAAATACATATATTCTTCAGCTCCTCTGTGAGGGAAGCAAAAAGATCCTGTAGCTGAAAATTTCCTCAAGTCCATAGGGATTGCTGAGGAGAGATCGTGACCCATAACAGAATGCCACAGTTGAGCCAGGAGGGTCATACAGGTCATTGCATTCCCATGTTATGGCGAAGTTAGGCTTGAAAAGAAAAAAGCTTCCTTGCACTCAAATATATAACAAAGAAGGTAGAGTTAAGCAAATAGAACAATATTGACACACTTGAAATAATCAAATTCAGAAGATTGCTATATAAATACGCATCATTCAGGACTGAGGAAAGTAGAAAAGGAAAGAAGGCTTGTAGTAAGCCCACCTCTGCAGAAATAACTGAAGCTCTTAACATACCCCAACACTTGTCTGTGCTAAACAGCATCAGTTTTTTTTCTTCAAGAGCTATTTCATGTCTGTGAAACAATGCTAAGCTACAGGTTTTGCTTCTTGTTTGGAAAGGAGTATTACTTTCCTCATCTTCACTTAGTGTATGAAAATGAACCTTCCCCAAATTTATGGCAATTAGTCAGATGTAAATAGTAGTATAGCAAGAATGTTTTGTTTAACAGCAGCTCCTCCATGAGGCTTTGGTGAAATAGATTTAAATAATTTGTTAGGAAGCTGCACATCTTTATTTTCAGCTAATTTTACTAAGTAGGTGGCAAAGCGTTCACTGATAACAGTTTAAGGATAGGGTTTGTTTGGTAAGAAAGAGATTGCAAATGCTATGACTAGCTTTATAAGGAAACAGCTCTAAATGAGAAGTTAAGCTGAATGTTGTTTTTCAAACCAGATATTGCTGGTGGCAACAACGTACCTGTATGGAGACCACTTGCAATTGAAACCAGCAGAAAAACAGAAATTTGTGATCAAAGCTGTAAGCATGGTTCAGCCTAAGGCATAAAAGCTTGTGAAAGGCCAGCTGCTGTAGGTTTCCTTAAATACAGGTAAGAGGAGAATGGTCATTTGGCTCTAGGTTGAGTTCAGTCTCAAAAGAGTTGATTGAAGTAATATTCTGGTTATTGAATTTATCCAGCAGCAATTTGTAATCCTGATATTAGCGAGTCAGTGTATGAGGTCTGCTGTAAAAGTAAGGCTTTCTGTATATTGGCCTATGATGTCAGAGACAGATATTGGTGGTATGGTAGTAGAAGTTGAACCTTCCCCCCAGTATTCTGTTACATTTTGTTCCAGTGCGACAGATGGCAGCAGATGGAAGCATCTGACATGGAAGTGCATGTGAAGCCAAGGTGTGTCACTGAATTCCACCATGTGGAAAAAAAATTGGTATCCATTGACATCCATTGATGCTTTCTGAATGTCTACAGAGACCAAACAGGGCTGTGAACACAGGGAGGTGGTGGGTGGTGCATTTCAGCAGTGGCAACAGCAGGTCACAAGGGCTGGTGCAATTCTTCACAAGAATGGCATTCAGGCTCTTGTTCAGTGCTGGAAAAAATGAATAGCTAATTGTGGGGACTATGTTGAAAAATAGTGTTTTGTAACTGAGAATTTGCATTATCAAACAGTGTTAGTGTGCTGTTTGTATCTATCATAATTTCTATGAAAATAAACAGTAGGCATTACTTTTGGAGCACCCTACATACATTAGGTCAGTGTACATTTATGTTCTAGTTTAGGAGAAGGGGGAAATCTAGAACCTTTATTGAAAGAAAGGACTAAATTTCACTTGAAAAAAGCTGAGTGCCAAGGTTTACAACCTTGTGGGAGCATAGCGTTTACTTATTTACTTGCTCAGGTGAAGTCCTCCAGGTGTCTGAAAAAAAGGCAATGTCACACCCATTTTTAAGAAGGGGAGAAGAAAGGATGACCCAGGGAAATACCACCTGTTAGCTTCACCTCTGTCCCAGGGAAGATCATGGAACAGATCTTCCTGGAAACCATGTGAAGGCACATGGAGGAGATGGAGATTATATAGGATAATTAGCATGGCTTCACTAAGGGTAGGTCCTGCCTGACCACCGTTATGGCTTTTTCTGATGGCATAACTGAGTCAATGGACGAGTCATCTGGTGTCATCTGTCTGGGCTGTAGTAAGGCTTTTGACAAGGTCCTCCAAAACATCTTTCAACTTGGAAAGAATTTGATAGATGGACTATTTGATGGGTGAGGAACTGGTTCTGAAATTGTACCTAGAGCGTGGTGGTCAGTGGCTCAATGTCCAGATAGATGGAGATGAGTGGTGTCCTGCAGGGATCTGTGCTGAGGCTTCTTTTTAACATCTTCTCAGTGTCATCAACAGGGGCATCGAGTGCACCCTCAGCAAGTTTGTAGATGACACCAAGCTGTGGGGTACAGTTGATATGCCTGAGGGATGGGATGCCATTCTGAGAAACTCAAGCAGTAGGCCCAGGTAATCTTTTTTGAGGTTCAACAAATCCAATTATAAGCTGTTGCACCTGAGTTGTGGTAACCTCTGCCACCAGTACAAGCTGGGTGGTGTGAGGATAGAAACTTGGGGCTCTGGCAGATGGTGAGATGGGCATGAGCTAGCAATGTGCCCTTACAGCCCAGAAAGCCAGCTGTATCCTGGGCTGCATCATAAGAATCATGGCCAGCAGGGTGAGGGAAGCAATCCTGCCCCCCTGCACTGGTGAGACCTCAGCTGGAGTACTGTGTCCAGATGTGAAGATCTCATTACAGAAGAAACATAGACCTGTAGGGGTTTGTCCAGGAAGGGGCCACAAAAATAATCAAAGGGATGGAACCCCTCCCCTGTGAGGTGAGGCAGAAAGAGATGGGGCTATTCAGCCTGGAGAAGAGAAGGCTTGGGGGAGACTGACACTGAAAGGCCTCTAAAAGGGGATTATAAGAATAAAGGGGACGCTCTTTAGCAAGGTCTGTTGGAATAGGACAAGGGGAAATGGTTTCAAACTAAAAGAGGGGATTTAGATTAGATAAAATGAAGCTTTTTTTTTCTCCACACAATTACGGTGGTGAGGGACTCAACAGGTTGTTTAGAGAGGTGGTGGATGTCCTTGCCCTGGAGACATTCAGGGTCAGGCTGGAACAGACTCTGAGCAACTTGACTGAGCTGGAGCATCTCTGTTCATTGCAGGGGAGTTGAACTACTTTAAAGGGTCCCTTCCAACTCAAACAATTCTGGATTCTATGATTCTACTTTTCAGTCATTATCTCTAAGTGAACATTCTAGGTTACCTGTTCACTGAAGCTTTTAAAACTTTGAAACAAGGCAGTAATCTTCCAATAAATACAGGGTGTAGTTCTTAAACAGTAGCTGCAGAATAAAGAGGAGCAGTACAATCCTTTTGATATGAAAGCTAGAGTTCTGGGTTCATTTTTAGACTCTTGTAAAAGAAACTGATGCAATATACTGAGTCCAGCAAAATGCTTCTAAGCTTTCTCGTAGCTTGGAGATAATTAGATTTGTTCCACATTAAGAAGAGAAAAAGGCTAGATGGCATGGGAGTGTTGTCATCTTGCTGCTGCCTTTAACTATCTCATGGTAGAGCACAGAAGCAATGAGGCCCAGCTTGAGCACAGGAAGAGGTAGGACATGAGGCAAGAGACAAGTCACAATAGGAAAGAAAAACTCTAAGAAATTTCCATCTTTGTTTTTTATTTGTTGTTTTTGTGAGTTAGTAAAACACCAGAACAAGTGCTGAGAAGGATTGTGATACCTCCATCCTTGGGGAGAAATGAAACTCAGTAAGACGTAGCCCAGAGTACTGTTCTTAGAGAACTGATTTTGAGCAGTGAAGTTGCATTGGACAAGCTGGAAGTCCCCTTCCAACGTGTGTGATTCTGCAACGTTTACTATAGTAGTTACTATGAGCTACATTTTCTAAAGAGTTAAGAAAGGCAACATGATAAATACTTACATATTATAGCTGTTGCTGTATTGTAAGATACACACCCGTTATTGGATATCAAGCATTTTTCTCTTGACCAGAAGATTTTTGCTAGATTTGAGGATTTTAAGGATACTTGGTTCCCTTTAACTTATTTAAAAAAAAAAAAATCAATAAAAAACTCTGTTACTAAAATACAAACTGAGCTTACATGCTGGACTGTCCATGGAGAGGTAAACATAATGAGATCCTAAATGCAGTTTGTGTTACTCAGTCAAGAACTACAGGTTGGTCATCTCCCCCTGCTTGAAGCTTAGGCTTCTTTGCTTTTAAGTTAGTTCCACAGTTATGCCGCTTACGTTCTTGCGACTTCTTCACCACTGAATCTTGGGTAGTCTTGGAAACCGTCTGAGCATTTTCACTGCTTCCTTCTGAATTTGAAGACTCAGATGGTTTGTTCTGTAAGTCATAAACAATCCTATTAAAATTCTAACAATTTTCTTCTTTTCTAGTGTTCTCATACAAAAGAGATGATAGCTATTTTTAATAAATTGAACAGATGCTAACCTCTTAAAATAAACTCTATGTAAAGTACAGATATAAATACCCTGTAAATGCTTTTCTTGCTGGTTGTCCCTTGTATTGTGATGATGTGTGCCTCATTTTTCAGCAGACCTGCTTTTGGTCCTATCTTCAGGTAGGATATTGTAGCAAATGCCGTGAAGCTGAAGTCTTCCCTAAGTAAATGAAATTGGTTTCATTTGAGAAGGTTGGAGACAAAGTCAGCATGCAGGGAAAAAATAAGACACGTATAGTAATTGTTCTGATTGATGTTCAAGGTGGCAGCAGCTTGATTCTGCTTCACTTAGCCAAGTAGATTGTCCTTAATCTGGTCAGCAGTTAACATAGTTTAGTTTGTGGACTTTCATACATACACAAACATGCTTTTCAATCTTTTGGAATAAACGCAGGAAAATAAAGAAAAAATACAATCACTCAGCTGCTTACCCTCTCCAGACTATAAAAACTTTCTGTGTAAGAGAATGCAAAAAAAAAAGTTATAAATAATGAGATTAAGTACCTGACTTCATGCATATTTCTGAAACTATATCAGAAGACAAAACATACACCACAGAAAGCCATGTTAAAGAAGCAGCACTTTTTCCATTATGCTTTCTTAAAATTAAAGTGCCACTTTCCACATTAATCAGCCTATCCTATCTTGAATACTATGTGGTAACCCCACTTACTTTGCTTATCCATGGCATATAAATAAGACTGACTATAAATAGCAGATTTCTCCAATGCAAAGCTTCCTGCAGATCTAAAGGTTCCACTTACACAACTGCAGAAGCTCCCAGCTTTTTTTAAAATTGAGAGAGACGCAGTGTTTCAAATGTTCCTACAATTTCTGTTTTAACTTACTCAAATAGAAATACAGAATCCCCTGTTTGTTTTTTAAACACATTAAATGATTCTGAAGATGATAGAACATTCATTAATATTATATGGAAGCAACGTGACAATAACAAAAAATGGCTATGATAATTGTAAGAGAAGAAAGTAAGTAATAATCTTCATACCTCAAATACTGCTGCAGCAGTAAATGGGCAATAATTCTCTCCAGTTCCTCTCGAGGCAGCTTTGGTGGGGTTACTTCAGCCACCCTGAGTTTTGATAAACCTTTTCCAGACCAAGCATCAATTAACTTCAGCGGAGTGAGCTTCTCACTCATGTTTTCTGCCTGCTCAAGTATCTTGATTAGATCCCTGCAGTATTCTGTGATATCCTTTTGCTTAAGTGCTACAAAAATCAATAGTATTTAAAATGCAAATCATTTATAGTTAGTTTCCATATGTAAAGTAGTACATATATATATATAAAGTACTTCTATATAAAAAGATATCTGTAAATACATGTATCTATGTGCCATATAATCCCAATGCTTTCAATGCTTTGTTTTTTGAACTGTAATTTTAAGCTAGCTACCCAATAGTGCTCAGAATGCTTGCTGGCAAAGCAATAAAAGAAATTAAGTACCAGAACTGCCTTCTACTGAAGCCATCCTCTTCTACCACACTGCAGGATTTGTTTCAGCTTCTCTATCAAGCTCCCTGTACATCTGGCCCGTATGGTCCCACTTTTAAACCCGACTTCCCTCCAAAGGAAAAGCATACTCCAAACACACACTGTGCTATTAGGGCTGACATTCAGGATTTTGCTACATTAGTGTGCTGAATTGTCATATGCACAGTTTTGGTACAGGCAGGACTCATGAGCATGCGGTACTGAAATCCTCAGAGATTTTACCAGACAAGTTGTAAAAGTGCAAGCTGTGCCTTCTCAGAGCCTAAGCGTGAACAGGTTGACAGGGAAGGAGCAGGAGAACTCCTGGAAATGCAGCTTTCACACCCCAAATAAAACCCTTAAACAAAATAGGACCCAAACCGATCACCTCTATATCTCATATTCACTTCTGGAAGCAGATGAACTGCTAAGCCTGAAAGATATCTCAGGCAAAAAGCTGTACAATGATGTATCCTGCTGAATACTCCGTAATTTTAACAGAAAGTCAATGAAAACTGATTTCCATAACTGGGTAACAGGCAATATATCAAGCATACTTTACAGAAGTTGCTCACAGTCACTCTAAACTAGATTATTTTTTAAGCCCACCTTTTCCATGTGGTGTCTTTATTTGTAAAAACAAATTACTTACAGTTTTCTCTACAGCAGTTATCACACATTCTATTGCAATTTGCAGACTCCCATACTTCATCAAAATGACGGGCTATGAGCACCCGGCGGCACCTGAGAGAACAGAAGAGCAAAGAGAGGCTATAGAATACAAATTTATATGTAAGTGTTACAAATCATGGAAGTAGTGAAAAGAAATTATCCTGGTAAGCTTTTATCTCAAAGCAAGCATAAATAAGTGTCTCATGAAAATCAGAAGGTAAATACCACAACACGGTATTCTGTGTAAGTTACACTAAGAGAAGTAATTAGCTTTCACTAATACTAAAAACTACTCTGTAAACAGCATGGTTGAAGCAGGAGAATAAGTATGATTTGTAATTCCAATAGAATGAAATAAATCTTTTAATATAAGCTCATTCTACTGAGCCCAACAAAGGTTGCTCTGAATGCTGTTTAAAAACAAAACGACCAAACAACTGAAGTAACTTACTTGTTCATATTCTGGCAGTAAGACACCATATCATACAGCTTCTCTTGCCCCACATTTTCCATCACTACCATTGTGCTGATTCTGAATATATCACCAAAACCATAATACAAGATGCAGTCAGCTTTTTGGTCATCCCTACCTGCAATACATTAAAACAAACAAAAGGTGTAGACTTTAAGCATAGTCCAATACAAATTCTATTCACACCTTCATTGGCTTTTGTAGCCTCATATAGACATTAACAGACTACTACGGTTACATCAGCCAATAGAACACATGATAAAGACTAGAAACAAAATAGATTTAGAACAGTCGTTTACAGCTACGCAATCAAGCAAACTGAAAAGTCTGTGGAAGGAAGATTCTGACTCTTAACTATTAAAAATAACACTAATGTGATACAGAAATTGAATGTAATCACCATTTTCTCACCCTACATCTCTTGGAAAATCCTATCCAAATATATTCTGAAGCTTAATTCATACTCTATTAAAAGATACTGTGACCTTCAAATACCTTATTAGGTATTCATAATGAATTGAGAATTACAATTAAACAAAATATTCCATTTGAAACTAACTGTGACTTCTACAGCTGAACTCAGATAGTCTCTTCCTGTTGGCCACCTCTCCTGATGATGCGATGGGTACTCTCCTACTGTTTGTGAGATCCAAAGAGCAGAAAGGGTCTAAAGAACCTACACTTGATAAGAGGTTAACATAAAAAAAAAAAAAAAAAAGAGGAACTACTTCACTTGGGTAGCCAACTGGGAGGGAATGGATGCCCCATCCCTGGAACTATTCAAGACCAGATTGGATGGGGCCATGGGCAACCTGGTCTAGTATTAAATGGGGACATTGGTGGCCCTGCATGTGGCAGGGGGGTTGGAGATTCATGATCCTTGAGGTCCCTTCCAACCCTGGCCATTCTGTGATTCTGAGGGAAAAGGAAAGTTTCATAAACTAAGTGATATGTTGAGGCAAATGAGGAGCAGTAATTAATGAATCCCCCTCAGAAAAATCCCATTTAAATTAAGTAATGGAAAACATACAAAAGCCTGCTGTCATCACCCAAAGCTGGTAAAGACTGAAATAACTACTCAGCACCTGTAAGACCTGTGACTTAGCAGTATTTATAATTCATATTAACTCCTGCGCTATCTAGAATGAAACAGGTTCTAGTGTAAGCAGATACAAACTTTGATGGCTCTTATCTTTTAAGCCAGCAGACATGTTCAAGCATAGAGAGAGTTAAAATCTCAACCAACTGCCCTTTTGAGTCCTTAGGAAAAAAAACCACAGAACTTTCCTCTACATACACTGAAATCTGTTTTTGAAAAAGAACATAAGCTAATAACTAAACAGGAAACAAACAAACCAAAAAGCACTTTTATAAAGCTATTCCAGCTATTTAATGCTGATGTACAGTGATTAATCCTTAAAATTCACTGCCCCAGGCCCCCTGTTCCACTTGTATTTCTGTGGCCAGCAAAATTCAGACAGAGATCACACATCATCTAGACAATCTGAGCAGATTACACATCCTAGTTGCTGTGCTAAGAAAGAAAAAAAACAACCTTGTGCGACAAGTCTGATCAATGTCATGTTGTTCTGGTAAGCCACAGATGCCAGAAAAATCAAGTAACTCAAAACAATTCTGAGTAAAGGGCTGGACACTCAGCTATTTTTGCTACACTGCAGTACAGAGGCCTGAGATCCATGAACGTAGTTTTTATCTGCTTTACAACATCTTTATGGAGGGCATTCATAGTTTGGAACTCAACTCAAAGACAACATACTGCATGTAGGTCTGAAATGAATAATTTTATTAGCCAAACAGATGTTAATGGATGCTTTGCAAATGCTGTTTCCTACAGTACCTGCACGTCCACTCTCTTGGTAGTAATTCTCCATTGACTTGCTCATTGAATGATGAATTACAAACCTCACATCAGGTTTATCAATTCCCATGCCGAAAGCAACAGTAGCCACTACAACCTGAAATAAAATTAAGAAACCATCAAGGTACCAAGTTACAATTTGTTTTAATGAGACAGAAATCTGTGAGAAATATCTGTTTAACCTGAATTTGATTTGCTGCCCATCCTTTATGAACTTTGGTCTTATATTTAGCATCCATGTTTGCATGGTAAGTTCCTGCCTTGATTCCTAGTTTCTGCAAACTTACAGTAACTTGCTCAGAGTCCTTCTGAGAAAAACAGTAAACAATTCCTGCATAAAAGAAAAGATGCCTTATTGTAATGCCATAAAAAAAAAGAAACCCAAAAAACACACCCTACAATCCCCAATGCTTAAGAAGAAAAAATTGTGAAAGTTTTGTTAATTTACAAATAACTAGTCAGTAAATAGTCTGTGTGCCTATTCAGTATGCAGTATTGGTAGCCATGGGAGGTATTTCAATGATCAATCTGAAAAAGACAGAATAGGTCAAAAGCAACACAGAAGTTCTCCTATCAAGCTGCTTAAATTTTGGAAAAAAAAATGGCTTACCTACCTTTTGGGGCTTTTTCCTACCGTATAGAAAACCAGTTCAACTTACAGCTTTAGCTTATAGACTAAAGAGGAAAAAAAGGATTCCAATCTGCATAATCATGGCAGTGATTACGATCAAGATAGACAATGCTTTTTAGTCCTTATGTGAAGTAGTCCTTTACTAAAGGGGCTCATTAAGTCTCCTATAGCATCCAACATCTCACCTGAGATTTCAGATAAATCAACTTCTTGTCAATCCGGACTAAATCTAAGATTATACACAAACTCATGCAGTTTTTAATCATCTTAGTACAATTCTGCATACAGGGAGCTGCCCTGTATACACAGATGCAAAGCTGTACATCAAGGACAAGCAAAGACTGCTGCTCCAGAAAAATGGGATCTGTTGCTCTTGTAATATAGCACTTTTGATTTGCAGTATACATGTAGGGTGCTCCAGAAGTAATTTCTCCTACTTATTTCCATGGAAACTACAACAGATACAAAGAGCACAATAACACTATTTGATAGGTCAAATTCTCAAATACAAAACACTATTTTTCAACATAGTCCTCACCATTAGCTGTGCATTTTCTCCAGTGTTGAACAAGAACCTGGATGCCGCACTCATAAAAGTGTGCACAGTCATTCAGAACATGGTTTGTCCGTGTCACTGTCACCACTGCTGAAACACACCACCCACCACCTCCACTGTGCTCACATCCACTGTTTGGTCTCAATAAATGTTCAGCAAGCATTGACGAATGTCAACAGGTGCCATTTTTTCCACGTGGAGGAATTCAGTGCCTTTGCTTTATACATACTTCCAAGTCAGACACCATTCTGTCAGACTGCCCCTCTGCTGCCATCTGCTGTAAGGCAATAAAATGTAACAAGATACTGGTGGGAAGGTTCAACTTTAGCTGCCATACCACCAATGCCTCAGATGTCATGGGCAACATAATAAGATAGGAGGCATTATTTCTGGAGCAGCCTTCATAATTTACTGAATGCAGAAAGTCCAGCTTTTACGGTTCTGCCTATATCACAAGCACAATTCACCATTCATCCATCCATCCTGGGCACTGAGTAATACATGAATCTTATGATCAAATACAAAAAAGAGCTGTTAAATTGTTAGTAAGTATATTAACACAGATAATACACTGAAAATGTAGGAATTGAATGCATAGAGAGAGCCTCTTTTCTGACTTGTTTTGCAGTCTTAAAAATTGGTATTATTCCTACCTGCGTAAGCACTGTTCTACATACATCAACACTGGATCTTCTGAAGTATTAAAACAGATATAAATTGTAAGAAAAATTAAACAGTATTGAATGGAACAAGTAATTACTCAAGGTACAAATCTTACTAAATTTGGAATTTCTCTGTAAGTTTAAGGATCACTTGAAACAATTCACATAATGCTAAATGCTACTTATAATAGTATGGTTTTATATCATTTACCTGAAAGCCCTTTGTATCTTCCATTAATGATCTTAACAATGTCCTCAATGAAATCTTCATTATTTGAAGGTTTATGCCGAACCTCAAAAACATAATACACGCATGCCAGAGAATTCTTGAAGTTGGCAAGCAATCTGTTAAAACAATGCTTTTATCCCACTTCTCCAAGTACAGTAAATACTGTACTTTACAAGTCATTTAAGCAAAATGGCTACACTCTCATTACTAAGAGTCAGATTACATCTGAAAAGCTCACAGGATGAAAAGGAAAACTAAGAACCCAAGAAAAACAGTAAGTTACTGTCATACAATGCAGTACAACACACTAATTCACGCCTTGTGATGATAGGACATTTCCCAATAGATTGCAGCAGCCTGAGCCTGCTCGTCCACCCCTCCCCTGTATACAGTCCTATTTGCTAAGCCTTGCTCAGAAAGATCAGGGCAGCCTATGTTCCTATGCAAATGACAGTAGATTCAGATGAAGTCATTAAAGAGCACTGCCGCTCAGTTGCAGGCTAGCTATTATTAATGTGTAACTGACAATCTATCCTGAAATTCATCAGCTGTAACTTACAGAAGATAATATGGCTGTGATGCACTTAAACAGACATACCTCATAGTAAAGATTAGGCCGGTTGAAAGATGCAGTAAAGGTAATGCATTTCCGAACATGTAAAATATTCTGAGCATCCTTTAAAACATGATTTGTAGCAGTTGCAGTTAATCCAATCAAAGGAGCAAGGGGAAACTGTCTTTTCAAGATGCCAAGGGATTTGTAGTCTGAGCAAGAATATAAAAAGAATATAAAATTATCATTACATTGCATTAAACAACATACAGATTACTTTGCAGGTGTTTTTAAAACCTGTTGGTTGGGTTTTGTTTTGTTTTTGTAAACACAGCTTCGCTAATAAACAAGTAATGTGGAATTTGGATAAACAGAACAGAGTACACTAATGAAAGATTTTAAAAGCACTTTACAGTCACATTCTTTCAATGGTAAAGAAACAATAGGTTAGTTTTCTACAATAAAATCTGAAACAATCTGAAGCAACTTTGTCTTTCCTGAAAATCATGGACTTTCACCTCAAATTTCTTTATGAGCAATTAAAATGTATTTTATCAATTCCAAAGGCATTATCATCACCTACTATCTTAACAGATCACGAGACTTTGCATCCCAGAATGAGATCCTTTACCTCACCTAGAGTGCTAAAGACTGGTATACAAAACTGCACATTGTTCCTGTAGCAGAAGACTAGAGATGACTGCAAGGGCTTTATTAAAGATGATATCCAAAAACGGTTTCAATAGCAGTTTTTTCAGAATACCAAAAAGGACATTGAAATAGCTCCAACTTGAATGAATCTAGCTACTGGACAAGGATAGAGTCATTTATGAACAGAAGTTCTTGAGCTAACAGACATTCCTGTCATACCTAACTACGGAACTATTTACTTAACATATGAAGAAAGCACTTAATTTTATTTCAGGCCTAACTTATTATTTATTGATGCCTGAATAACTCTGCAAATTGGGTTTCTAAAGAGTATACCTGGCCTGAAGTCATGGCCCCACTGACTGCAACAGTGGACCTCATCTACAGCAATGCGAGCAAGACATCCTGCTTGATAAGCTTTCTCTAGCTTTGACATGAACATTTTGCTCTTTGCAATCTTCTCTGGGGTCACATAAAGGAGCTTCAGTTGTGAATTTCTGTCTAGCATCTGCGTATGAACCCACTTGACATGTTCCTGTTCAAAACAAAAGGAGAAATCAGGCGTGAGGAAACCAGGACAACACACTGAAGTCGTTTACTGCTAGGATTCTTAAGAGGTTATTGACAGTTCATAGGAGGTAACCAACAGACAGATAAACTGTATTTACACACAGCATTTACCACTACTGCAAGGCTTTGCAAAAGACCACTATATGTAAAACATTAATTTTAATACTTGGAAATCTTTCACATAAGTCTGAAAAACAAAACTATTCAATTTTTGTTTTTGCTTTAGCATCTGTTGTCAGTATTTCCCCATTAAACTATAATGTATCAAGCAAGTCTGTGATACTACAAGTATAAAATAATTATTTATAAGCAACCAGTACTCCCAGCTGTAAGGTGTATTACTGTATTTTCAATATGTTATACCTGAAAACTGGCTGCAAGTCTGGCAAATAGCATCAGGTCACTAAGCTATCAAATCCATTGTCATGTGCAATTTAATGACCACGGCCTCCTGGCAGTCAGGAAAAAAAAAAAAAAAAAAGAATCACTGCAAAAAGTAATTGACTAATAACAGACTGTGAAATAAAATACTTCTCGCCCTTGGTATTAAACATTTACCATCCCAAGGGAAGACAAAATGCTGAATGTGAAAGCCTGCTCTGCTTAAGAAGTCACTAGCAGACAAAATCACCTCCTCCAATCTTCTTTCATATCTAGAAATGCAGTAGACAGAAAAAAACACCAGCCAAGGTACTTCACACCCTTTAAATAGCCCCACGTAATCTACCTATTTCATGAAAGCTGTTGGTCTAAATGTGCCCTTGTTATTAAAACAAGAATGCTATAAATTCATTCATGTTACCCATACCACAGCACAAAGCTCACAAGGTTCTGCTGATAGCATTAGCTGCTAAAACTGTGCCATTCAGTGTTCATAAATAACATAAACAGAGGTGAGATGCAAGCTTGGGCATAAAATCTTCACAGATATACATACCTTACTGCTTGAAGCATTTAATAAAGTTGCAGAAATGCCAAGCTGTTCCAAAACCATGAGCTGATCTTCCATAAGTGATATCAAAGGACATATCACAAGTGTAAAACCTGTAATAATAAATTATCTGTGACACCTGAACCATTAAGTTTGCACGCTGTCACTTCTAATACTACTTCTTTTTTTTTTTTTTTTAAATAATGCATCAATCCTGTTCTGTTAGAACTTCCCAATTTGAGCTTAAACTTTATATACTTAGTAGCTGATTCCTCTCCCAGATGAGTGCAAGGTCACAGAGGGACATTTAATCAACTGACTATGACATGCACGTTGTCTTAAAATCTAGAACTAAGCTGTAAAAAGCAGAGTATAAGGACTAATATACAAAACAAAGCAAGTAAGATTCACAGGTGTGTAATGAGGTGACACATATCTAAGCATAACTAACAACGCTAGATACTGATAGGCTTGATCTTTGTAAATAAAGAAACTTCCATGCAGTCAGATGCATTATTTTTTCCAAAAGAAGTTTAAAAACTATAGCTGGATACTTTTTTTTTTTTTTTTTTTTAAACAAATGCACAAAGCCTCTCAAATAACCTGGAGCTAAAATACAGAAAAATAACAGTTATCGATATTTGAATAATTTATTATCTGTATATTAAATTAAAAGCTTAAGAAAAAAATATAGTGACAAACTTTTAAAAAACTTCTTCCAGTGTTTAAAAATATGAAGTAATGACAGGAATGTATGCAAATGATTTAACTCACATCTAAAAGGCTCATCTATTTGAAGGCTGCTATTGCTCCTTAAAAAAAAGAAAGAAAGAAAGAAAGAAAAAAGAACTACGCAAATATTTCTAGTAAATCTCTCTCTTATCTTTGCTCTTTTTTCTCTTGCTTAATGTCAGGTATCAGGGGAGGGTCAGGTTGGATATTAGGAAAAATTTCTTCTCAGGAAGAGTGGTGATGCATTGGCACAGGCTGCCCAGGGAGGTGGTGGAGTCACCATCCCTGGAAGAGTTCAAGAGCCATGTAGATGTGGCACTGAGGGACGTGGTTAGAGGGCACAGTGGGGTTGGGCTGATGGCTGGACTAGATGATCTTTGCAGTCTTTTCCAACATTAATGATTCTATGATTAGACACCAATGCAACGTGCATTCTCCAAAGAACTTCATAAGGGGGAAGCTAAATTCAGTTGTTTATGTATGGCCCCTCCTCCTCAAACATACCATCAGAACAGACAGCTGGTAACTGATAACAAAGGCTCTTTCCACCACCTGTAGGCATGACAAGAAATATATCCTTTCCTGCCATTGTAGCATTCACTGTTTCAAGTTGCAAGGATCTAAACTTCTGGAGTTTAAACTTGTTTTGCAATGCAGTTTTTATCTTCTCATACCATGGAAAGTCTGTTAAGGACAAAAAAAAAAAAGCATTTTTACCCATTTTCTTAAACTATAGGAGTAACTTGCATATACAGTAACTAGAATAGAAATTGACACACTTTTTGATGCAAGAGCTTTCAAAGATTGAATAAGGGCACAAAAACCAAGTCTGTATAATCCAATTTCTAGTAGGTTCTATTGAACCTATTAGTACCTTTGACAATCCTGTGTAAATGCAAACATGATCCACCTCCAGACTAAGGGCTTTCATTTACATACTAATGCTAAAAACTCACAAACAGATGAAGCACTTTAAAATGCTAACAATTAAGTCAATTGGTTAGTACAAAATTAAAGGGAAACAAGAAGCCCATCCTGAAAATAAATAAAAACAGACATGGAGTCCTATAGCAGCCTTACTACACGGTTGTCCAAATGCCTCCTTCATACAAATGCAGTCATTGCAAGTAAGATAATGAAGGCAGGTTTATCATTTGTTCCATATATTCCAGAGATAATAAGCTTTGGGACTTGAGGTAGCATTGCTTCCTAATTTACAGAGATCACAGCCAAGTCCCAGGGCTCTGTGAGAACAAGGAAAGCCTCCCATTGATTTCAATGGGCTCTACACTGAGAACAGATTTTGCTTTATTTCTTATTCAGTACATACAAATGCAGCACTTGATTGAAAAAAAAAAAAGTTAAGTTTTAAAGCACAGGAGAAAAGACACCCAAAATACATCATTTTGTTCAATAGCACTGATCTGAAATTACACATCATCAGTAATAAAAGTGAGTTAAAGAGGAGGAAAATGATAGTAAAAAGATCTAATTGAATTTGCCAGTCATAACATGGTCCAAACCAACCAGCTATCCAGGTTTTCAATTAATGTTCACTAGGAAAACGGCACTTCCAAAAGAACAGCAGCCCTCACACCACCATGGGACGTTTGCAACTTGAACTAAGCCTACAGTACTAACATTTTTTACAATATTTTAAGTCAGCATCTATCAAATTTGCATCATTAGGCAAGATAGTGGGGCTACATCACCCACACTAAAACCATTGGTGTCCTACCATTCAAGCAAGAAGAAACAGAGACAGTAAGAAGCAACTTTAAGAATGCAAGATTGTTATCGATAAAACCTGAAAATATCCAGAGTAATTATTTCCTATTTATTTTTTATCAAAAAATAAGCACTGCAACATATCCAGAATTACTCGTGGATTATTATTGCAAATACAATTAAGCTGTGACTTTGCATCAAGAAAAAAAACAAAGTAGAACTTGTGGGTTGAGATAAAAACTATTTACTAAGAAGAAAAGGAATAGAAAAGGAGAATTATAATAGAAATGATAATAATGTAATACATATTTACGAAACAAGTGATTCACAAAACAACTGCTCACCATCTGCCAACAGCAGTGCAGCCAACCCCTGAACAGCAGCACCCCCACCCAGCCAACTTTCCTCAGTTTTATAATTTCCTCACATGATGTGGTATGGAATATCCCTTTGGTCAGCTGCCCTGATTCTGTCCCCTCCCAGCTCCTTGTGCAGCTTCAGCCCCCTTCCCTGGCAGGACAATATAAGAAGACCCCCTTGGCTGTTTATAGCACTGTTCAGCAACAGCTAAAACACTGGTGAGTTATCAACATTGTTTTTCTTCCAAAGACAAAACATAGCATCCTACCAGACATGGGAAAAAAAAAAAAACCAACAACTCTGACCCAGCTGAAACCAGGACAATAGTTAGAAAAGGCCATTTTTATAGACTAGAAAAACTCAGCCTAGAAGAACTCACATTAGTGTTAAATGCCCAGCAAAGTAAGCACAAAATTATCCTGTGTAAGATGGTAGGCCACCCAGCTGAACAAAATAGAACGAAACAATATCACTATCCAAACAGAACTCTGTACAAACACATTTTACCCCTACTAAATTAAATGAATAGAATATTTGCAAACCTGTTTTGTTCCATGCCTCAACTGAGGTTTCGGTCTCTTTACTTCCCCCTGCTGCTGACTCTCCTGAGGACTGCTTTATCAGCTTTTTTAATGTCGTCTTCTTTTGAATGAGTTCTTGCTGTTTATCCAGCAGCTCCTGAATCTGCATCTCCACTGCCTGCAGCTCATTTTCAATGGAAAGCAGCTCATCCTCTAGCACTGATGACAAAAACAAGGCAAAGGCAAAAATATTAATATGAATAATGTATTTCACATGTTGATTGAGAACAATCAAAATTAAACACAAACCAAGAGCATCTAAAGAAAAAGATAGCATGCTAAACCCACTGGTAAGATTACAACATCTTAATTTTTGTATGTACCATGTAAAAATATGTCACAATGCTTAATGAGGTATTGCATATATTAGTAGGTTGTATGAAAGCACTTACGTACTCTACATTGTCACCTCTGATACAGTGTATGAGATATGCAACACTGGCACTGACTACACTGATTAATAGAGAAAAAATACATCACAATCTTGTTTCTCAGAAGTGAAGTCTCTCTAGAGAAATACTTGCCATTGGTTTTTTTTCTGCAGATGTAGGTTGGGAAATGAAAAGCAAATTGCATCTGCCTGATATTAAAGCTGAAAGAGTTACAACAAATACAAAAGGAGTACTCCAGCCAGTTACAATGTGAGCTCAGTATTAAAACATTTTTAGTAGACTGCATTTACATGTAAGAATCAACTTTAACCTCAGCAAACAAAAGTCCTCTGAAGATGGAAATAGAAACATTAGCAGGAAGCTATGTTTCATGCACTCACATCTTATCTTTTGTGCAGATCCAGAGCATTTGCTAAATGTCAAGGTTTGAATGTGGAGGACAAAAGCTTTTTGTGAACACAAGCTATTCTTCAGATCTGAAAGTGCTGAAGCAAACACTCCCCAAATGCCTGACTTAGATTTGCCTCTATACATCCTTATGTACCTCTATGTGAATTATAGCTTGTATCAGGAATGGTGTGGTGAGCAGGACTAGGGAAGTCATCCTGCCCCTGTACTTGGCACTGGTGAAGCCTCACTTTGAGTTCTCCATTCAGTTTTGGGCACCTCAGTACAGAAAGGACATCGAGATGCTGGAGCAGGTCCGAAGAAGGCCAACAAGGCTTGTGAAGGAGCAAGTGAAATAACTGGGGCTGTTCAGTCTGAAGAAAAGGAGGCTGAGGAGAGACCTTATTGCTCTCTTCCAATATCTGAAAGGTGCTTACAGCAAGAGTGAGGTTGGTCACTTCTCACTGGTGACAGGACGAGGGGAAATGGCCTCAAGTTGCGCCAGGGGAAGTTTAGTTTGGATATCAGGAAAAACTGCTTTACAGAAGGGGTTGTTAAGCACTGGAATAGGCTCCCCAGGGGGGTGGTTGAGTCACCATTCCTGCATGTGTTTAAAAACCATTTGGATGTGGTGCTCAGGGACACAGTTTAGTGGAGGGTTATTAGAGTTAGGGTAGTATGGTTAGGTTGTGGTTGGACTTGATGATTTTCAAGGTCTTTTCCAACCTGAGCAATTATATGGGCTGTGGTCTATAACTCAACCCCATAAGATGGAAAAGTAATAACACAGTATGTCAATCATGTACCATCATTTTCAAGCCAGGCTAGAAAAGCATGAAAAATAGCTTTTTTTTTCTTCCAAAATACTAGGTTTGGTCCAAACATAGCAGATATGATAAATTGCTTAAGGAAGAAAAATGTTTCCCATTCAAAAAGCTACCTTCTTTACAAATGGCACAAAATGAAGATATTTGTCTTCCAAAAAGCCCACTGTTATTCAGCAGGAATGAGCTGAAAGTGTCTTATAATATTAAGCATATTTTCAATACACTGAAAGCCAAGTAATTTTCTTGAAAAATCAACTTCAATTTTAGTTTTTAATCTAAGAAACAAAAACATTATGCAGTTTAAAAACAAGAAACCAACAAAAAACACAAACATGGCAGGACGGTTGGAACAGATGATCTTGAAAGGTCCCTTCCCAAACCATTCTATTACTCTATGAAGACATCTTTTTCTTCAAATCTGAAGTATAACAACATAGAACTGATACTCTTTTCTGCATATAAATAACAATCAATAAATCAGGTGATCATGTCCGTTAACCAAAAGACAACAAAATGAACACACACAGTGCTAATTTTGGATTACCTTCCACAGCTGTCATCTCTAGAGAATACAGAGGGCTATCCTCAGGAGAATTTACTTAACCAAGTAACTGTCACTAAGAATAAAACAAAGAAGAAAAGTTTCATTAGTAATCCTTCTAAAGTTAGAACATACTTACTGCAAGCAATTTGTCAATATATGAGGTGCTAGTAGAACAGGTTAAGCACTGGTACATTTAACCCAACTATAATAAATATCTCCAACTATATGACAACACACTTTTTCCCCTACTGCTAAAGGTGTAGGGGACTTTGCATAGGTGTGAAGTTATAAACAGCTCTTAAGGTTACACAGAGCCTTAGGCTATAAAGATCTTCCAAATGGAATCAAAAGATTTTTGACCAAGACTTAAACTTTATGGAAGTCTTTCTCATCCCTTTAACGGATGCATGGTGTAATTTAGACAAGTCATTCATCCACATTAGAACTATCCTTATTTCAGTTCTGTTTGAAGACTACTTTACAGAAAGTCAGAACAAACTGCAGTGCATCCATTTGAAAAATACCCACAATAACACCTTGAGGAACTTACAGGAGGAAGTAGAAAGACAATTTGGTTCAGAGGAGAGAGATTAGATCATCAATGAGACAAACTAATTGCTGGCTTAACTTCTGAATGACACTCTTTGCTGTAGTATATGCTAGTAATATAAATCTGAAGAAGCTTAATATTCTCTAAACCTTGGGTAATTCTCAACGATTTATTGTATGTGCAGAAGTCAAATCTGAGGGAAGGTGAAACAGAAATCAGAAGACCTTCACTAAAGCTAATCCTAAAGCACGATATATTTCACTCGGTTCCTACAAATAGAACAAAAATGTATTTAAAAAAAATATGCAAATAAAGGATTGAATTTGTCAGATGATGTTGTATTTTAGAAGAAGTTGAAGGTCCACGCTTCAGAGAGAAGCTGACAGCATAATTCAGCAGTGTGTCCACATCTCCTATAAAATCCAAGTCATACAATTCTCTCTCCATCACCTGCCACTTGCACAAAAGTATCTGGAAATGTTAGCTTCTTCCAAGCACAGAGCAAGGAGGGACATGCAGAAAATAAGTACGGAACTGACACACCATAAATGTAATATACTTCTATTCTCCAAAAATAAATGCAATCATCACAAACCGCTATGCTGATAGCTCATTAAGCATAAAACATTTTCTTATCAAAAGAGTGGGAAATGAATGAAAGTGACTTACGAAAGTAACCCCTTCTGCTGCTAAAGCTTTACAAGTCTTTAGTTCAGTTCCTGCCTCTAAAAGAAGCATTCAGTATACCTTATAATTGATTCTGTACCAACACTGCCAGCAAAGAACTCATTTGACTCTCAAATATGCAGCTCTTAAGACAATGAATAAAGACAAACTCATATCTCATAAGCGGACAAAACACAAGTGGAAGCATTCTACCCTGTAGGCAGTTGTACCCTACTGTAAAAACAGTAAAATTACTGCAATCATCCCATTATACCCTTTCTTAAGCAGCCCTCAGGACAGGAGAAAGGCTGCTAAGCGGCACGTTAGTGATGTGTGTCACTTGTGGCCCTGAAGATTTAAATCAGTGTCCCACTACTGGCAGCTTTCCTACCTCACCTTCTATGCAGCCTCAAATAAAAGCTCCTCAGTCCAACTCTAATGAGAGCAATGCTAACAGGCCGTGATCAAGGAAAGCATCCTTACAGTTACCTTGGGCTGCATCAAAAGAGGGGTGGCCAGCAGAGCAAGGGAGGGGATTGTTTGAACACTGGGCTGTATATGGAACAGGGATGGAGTAAAGCTTCTGTTGGGAATGGCACTGTGCATGAGATGGGGCTGTGCATGGATTGAGGCTCTACATGAGCCCCACGAGGCTGGGGGATGAGCATGGGGCCGAGCATGACTTTAGGGTATGGATAGCAATGGAAATGGAGATGGTGTTGTGTTGGAGCTAGGGATGGAAATAAGAACAGGACAGAGCTCCAATCCTCCCACCCACACATCCGCCAGAGTTAAGGATGGTGCCGGGGCTGCAGCCCCCAGAACCTGCTGTGCTCCATAGTGGGGCTCTGTCCCTTCTCCCCTTCCTTTGTACTCACAAAACCAATAAGAATCAAACAAAGACATGCATGTATTTTCTCATGCATACACATATAAGTACCCAGATGAGCTGTGTAAAGGGATCTCCTTATCACAGAAATAGCAGATCTGCTCTAAAAGATAATAATAATGATGTATTATAATATAATACTATTAATAACAATATTATTATTAACTATAACAAAAAAAGATGGGAAGAAAACTGTTTCTCACTCAGCTTGCAGCTGCAGTGAATGTAGGGCTTGGGCACAGCAGTGGCATTTTTGGTGTGCTCTGGTCCAGTTTCTTGTTAGAGGGGAAAAGAATAAACCGTGTCTTTCAGAACTCATTCATCTCCCCCTACACCTCTTCTTTAAATAAGAAATAAATTTAATTCACACCTGGTATATGCAATCACTGACAGAAATAGTGCAAGTCTGTGTTTGGGCATTGGATCCACCACGCTGGATCAATTGAGTTTGAGTCAATGAACCCTATGGGTCCCTTCCAACTCAGATATTCTAACATTCTATTACTGTTCTCCTGTACTCTGCCCTCATGAGGCCACATATGGAATACTGCATCGAGGCTCAGGGCCCCCAGCACAAGAAAGATGCAGAGCTGCTGGAACAGGTTCAGAGGAGACCATGAAGATGATGAGAGGGCTGGAGCACCTCTCCTATGAAGAAAAGCTGAGGGAGCTGGGCTTGTTCAGCCTGGAGAAAAGAAGACTGCGGGGTGACCTCATTGCAGCCTTTCAGTACCTAAAGGGAGCCTACAAACAGGATGGGAATTGACTCTTTACAAGGGTAGATAACAGCAGGACAAGGGGAAATGGTTTTAAGTTGAAGGAGGGAAGAATTAGGATGGGTGTCAGGGGGAAGTTCTTTACAGAGAGAGTGGTGAGGTGCTGAGGCTGCCCAGAGTGGATGCGCCATCCCTAGAGGTGTTCAAGGCCAGACTGGATGGGGCCCTGGGCAGCCTGAGCTGCTGGGCGGCAGCCCTGTTCGTGACAGGGGTTGGAACTGAGCGAGCTTTAACGGCCGTTCCAGCCCAAAGCACTCTGTGGTTACAAATACTAAGGGAATAAAACCCATAGTAACGCTTCTCCTTAGAGATAGCTCCGTCACTCAGCAATAAAACCCCAACACGTACGCCTACGACCTCTCACTGAGAGAAAAATAAGTAAATAAACAGAAAGATACCTGAACTCACAGGGAGAAGCACGCACCACCTGCGGGCAGAGCATTCCGCAGACCCTCGGGCGGCGCCCACCTCAGCGTAGCGAGTCCCGCACCTCCCGAGGCCCGTGACGGAACCGCAGCGACCACGCGCGCAACCTCTGGCCGCGCCTCGCTACGCCCCGCTCCCACGCGGCCGCACATACCCCACGCTGCCGCGCCCTCCCATCTGCCAGCCGGCTCCCAAGCTCCGCCCCTCCTCTGTCCCCTACTTCCGCTGCCGGCTCCCCTCAGCCAATCGTCTACAGCGAGACGAGCGCGAGTGTTACCACGTGCTGCCCTCTTCCCCAATCCGCGCCGACGTTACGAGCCTCCCGCTCGGCGGAACGAAAGCGGAGGGGCGGAGCCACTCGAACAAGGCGGCTGCTAATTGGGCGCCGCCCCGCCAATCGGCGCTGTCCTTTCAGCCGGCGGCGAGGCGAAGGGGGCTGCGTGTTTCCGGAAGACGTGGCCGTTGTCGCTCTGCCGCTGCCGTTCGGCTCTTTCTCCTTCCCCGTTGTCGCCCCGCCGCCACCATGATCTCCCTCTCGGACACGCAGAGTGAGCGCCGCGCCGCGCCCTCACCCCATTGCTTCCCGGTGGGAGGGGAACGCGGGTCTCCCGCCGCGGAGGGGTGCCTGTCGTTAATCGCTGACGGGAGGGCTGGACGAGCCCGGCGAAGGGCCGCACGTGACGGACCCGGCCGCGCCCTTTGTTCGCGCTTCTCGCTTTCGGAGTGCGGGCGCGGGGCCGAGTGGGGCGGTGGGGGTCGCTGGGGAGGGTCCGGCTCAGACGGTGCGTGCCGGCGGTAGGGGTGTGCGGACAGAGGGGGAGCTCAGCTGCCGCTGTCCCCATCGCCGTGCTTCGGGGGATGCTATGGATGCGCTCGTACCTTGGGGCAGCGGTGCTGGTGGGGCTCGTGGGGTAAAGCTGGAAGTGAGGGGGGTGTCAGCTTAGAATAGAGCTTGTCGCGGCCCGCCCAGCGTCTTCAGGTGGGCGTTGGTCGACAGCGCTGCTGCTGCCGGCGTGTGCTTTGGGATGCGAGGTGTTTCCCGGTGGTGGTGTCGCTACCTGACGGTAATGGCGAGAAGAGAATGAATGAAAGCTGACTGGTACACAGAAGTGAGAATTGGCAGATGTCTGTTAAATCGTATGCCTCCATGTGGGCATTAATGGTTTTGAGTAAATACGTGTCTGCGTCTTTACTGTTAACTTTATTACTGAATGGAGTGTTTGCAGGTGGCATAGAAGGGGCTTTAAGGTGAGCAGCAGGAACTCAGTCTGAAGCAAACAAAGAACAGCTTGGACCTGACAGTAGTTTTGCTTTTCCTCACTAGGAACGGCTGGGATTAAAGATGCTGAAAGGGGAAATTAAAAGAAATCAGAGGGTTTGTAGGCATTGAAACTGCAAAGAAAAGGAGAACGTCATTCTTTTATTTAAGTTAATGTATCATGCACGATACATTCTCAGTATAGTTATCATAAAAGGAAATGAGTTTTAAGTGTTGTAATGTTGCTTGAAGGAGGACAAGTGTGAAAGCTGTAGGGAAAAGAAGTTTAACTTGATAGCAGAGCACTGAAAACATTGGTGAGCCAACTGAGGCAAAGGATGTAAATGGGCAGTAAAGTGAATTAGCAGCGCACAAGGTTAATGACTTTCTGAGAAATTCAGGTGCTATGCTCTGCTACTGGAATGGTTGTTAAATCCTAGGGCTAATTCTTAGGTATATAATGTGTTAAAGCCTTGTGGGCTTCGCTTTTGCCCATTCCCCTATTGTCCCATCCAAAGTATTCATTGGGAAAAAGAGATCTGTTCGCTGTTTGTACTTGTCTTAGTTTCTTTTTGAGACATTGAGCTAACTCCTCCTCCTGCTGACTCTGTTGGCTTTGATTCAGAGCTGAGAGTAGTAGATAAAATGATGTGCAGTGTGAGGCTTTTGAATTTCACATTTTTCTAAGATATTTCTTCAGATGTTTTGACACTCGCTTCTGTTTGGGAAAATACATAATTGTAACACACAAAAAAAGTGCATCAACCTTTTTTCTTCTGGACTGCAATGCATACTTATTTTTGTAAAAAAGATAGAGGATGTGTAGTTTCCTTCCTTAACTTTCATAACCAGTCTATCTTAAAACTTAGTGTTTGCTAAGAGATTTTGATGCTTTGCTGCACTATTCATACAATTCATGGGGTTTTTGTAGGAACACTGAGAATGTGTTGATCCCCTCCCCTCTGCGAATTGCAGCTATTAAAGAAAAACTATCACATGGCTAGGATGTGTATCTGCATTTCTAGAGACTGAAAAAGTTGTATTTGAGTGATATATAGGCAGACTTTTATGGTATGGGAGAAAGCATTCTAACAATAGTTTATGCCCCTCATAAAACTTCCTTGCTTATTGTTTGCCAAGACTACAAAAGGACAAGGCCAGACACACTTCACTTGGTGCTCTTCAGAGGAAAAAAAAAATAAAACAACCAACACAGTTCTGATGTGATTGGGTTGGTAACATTTACTTGAAATGAGTCCAGAACTACTACCCTCTGTTGCCAGTATCTCATCTGCTTTCAGCGTAACTCTCTGTGCTAACCAGAGAGTATGGTTGATTTCTAAAGAGAAACTGAACCCGCTGTGGCAGTAAGTGGTTACAAATGTTTTTCAAGTGAATACAGAAGTGTTAGAGCTGTAATTGCAGCAGCTGTTGGGAGTCAGCCTCTGCTTCTTGCTCGCACCCCACTTTGTGCTGTGTCTGAAGAAGGAATGAATACTCACTTCCCGTGGCAGCATATTTATCTTATTGGCAGCTGGTAATTCCTTTGGAATCCTGCCTCAGAGTGTTTTTTCTTTCCAGAATACAGATTGTTTCTGCTCTTCTAAAGTAAAGAGCACTAGAAGAAAGGGCAGACTACAATTCCTACGTTAGTTTCAGTCAGTTGATTCAGTGGAGATGCAATTTGCAATTCGTTGTTCATTGTGGTTCATTGTAAGAAAGTACAGTAAATGTCTGGTAGTAGTTTTAATACAGAGTAGTTAAAATGCTCATAGTAAAGCTTTAATGTGGCAGACTTAATACCATGAGTTAACACCATGTGGTCAGCAACCTTGCTGAAAGGAGAAGTTGGGGAATCTGAACGTTGCTGTAACAAATCTCTTTACTCTGAGCTGTTTGGGAATTTTTTGTTGTAAATTAAGCATCTGAAATGGACACTGTTACGCTCCTTCATTCCTGAGCTCTTCAAGCAAAGTTAAATGATCAAGTAGATCTGTGTTGCAGTCAAAAGAGCAAATAAAATACATTTAGATATCTCTTCCAGATTTAATTTGGCTAACAGTATCAGTGAAGGGCTTTTTGTTTGTTAGGCCACACAAAAATACTGACATCTTCAAAGTATACTGGCTTGCCAGCCTGCCTGTAGTAATAGTGCTGTTTTTGCTAGCTATGTGTTTATGTCCTGCAGATGTCTAAATTCTCCAGTCATAAGCTGGTGAGTGCGCAGATAAACACCAAAGCTTTTACAACTAAGATTGCTCCTGTTCTGGTTATTTCTTGTATGCAGTCTGTGTGAGAGTCACAGGAAGGCCATAGACGTTTAATTTTAAAGGTGTGATATACTTCTGTGTATGTTCTTCAAAATACCTCAGAGACTATCGTCAAATGGTAGTTTTAATCATAGCCTGACATTTCCAGACAAACAAATCTTCCATCCTGCTCTTGCCTATCCAATATTTCTTGAACAACCTTTACCGACAGGCAGAACTCAGAGATAGATACCATCTACGAGTTCTGTGAAAACTGACAGCTGGCAGGAGACCCAAGCTAATGTTTAACAGTCATCAGCATGTGTTACATGGAAGGAGCCTGCAGCATTAATCTGTGTTGTATTTAATCCGGAAGTTGGGAAAATGGGATTGCCATGCGTGTAATATGGAATGTGAGGTCTCAGGAGGACGAGGTACTTGCGTGTTTGCAATAAGCATTATGGGATAAGAGTTGCAAATAGAAAACAAGGTTTTATTATCTGTTCCCAAAATAATCCTTGCTAGCAGTAAATCAAAAGGGATGTTTGCCATATGTGTATATCCATACATGCTTTTGTTGCATTCAATTTCAGTACATTGTTAAGTTGATTCTTTTTATGATAAGCAGTTCCCAAACATCTCTTTTTCTAGTATTGAAATAACTGCTTTATACAGGACTAGTTTTATTTGTAGTTCAGGGAAGTTTTTTAAGTAGTCATGAAATAGTCTAGGAGCTTGTCTACGAATTTAAACTTTCTATGTGTTGCATGTTCCAAGTTTGTATCAATTTCTAAGCGTGAGTTTTTTCTGTTACCATGTTATGTAATATAGTTAATTTTATTTCTCCTTGCAGAGATCGGAATGGGTTTAACAGGTTTTGGAGTGTTTTTCCTTTTCTTTGGAATGATACTCTTCTTTGACAAAGCTCTTCTTGCTATTGGAAATGTAAGTGTGTACCTTTTGGTCTTAAATTCTGCTCTGCTTAAAATTAAGTATATAATATGTTAAAAATAAACTTAAAAAACAATATATTTTCAAATAGAAATTGGGTCATAAAAGGTACTGTGGTAACTTAGTGTAAAGGAAGAGTTATGCGCAGTGATCTGAGTGAATCATTTTCCCTGATTAACATTAGAGCAGCTCACATCAATCTTAATGTTGTACCTCCAGGTCAGGCCTGCGGTATGTTGGTCTGACAAGCAGCAGCTTGTCCTACAGTTATGCTGATGCAAATAAGATTTCTAGATAAGCTATTATTACTAACACTTTTTTTTTTTTATGATCTTGTAAGGTAACTGTGAAAGCTAGGTATCTATTTGGATAAGAATGCTGATGGTGTGTTCAATGCCTTATGTTAAATGCAGTTTTGCTGTGCCTTATTAGGATGGAGAGAAGCATGAGTTGCTGGTAATGGCTTAGGAGGGCAAATCACCACAACAGAAAGCTGAAATATCTTCAGTTTTTACCAAATTGAAGTTTTTGCTTAAGCAGGATAGAAAATAAATCCTAGGGCAGGTACATAAAATAACAAAGTAAAATAACATTGCATTTTCTAAATCTGATATTGCTGTGCCCCAGCTGTTCTCAGCTTTGCCAGCCAGACAGCACAGCTTGATAGAGATTTGTGTCCTCCTTTGATAACCAAA